AGTAAAAAAAAAATTGTTTTTATTCTGGTCATTAAACAAACATGGCCGCGATAGCTGAAAATAGAACAAATTGGTAAAAACCAGTTTTGGCATGTATCTCAAAAATTTAAACAGTTAGAGCAAACCAGGCTTATATACCATTACAACTATACACAAGGCGGATCAAACATTTTCCAAAAGGTGGATGAGCGCCGAATAGTTTTTCCTAAAGAGAGATTGAAAAGTCCAGCTTGACCCTCCCTACCCGTCCCCAACTGAATCTGTTATTTTATGATTCAGAAGATCTTTAGAAATTCTTTACAAGGCACACATTAAGACACCGTACTAGGAATATGTTTGTTTGTTTATTTGAAATAACTATTTCAACAAAATGTCCTTTTTTGACATTCAAATGCAGTTCATCTTTTAGAGAAATATTGCTTCAAGCAGGGGAAAAGGGCATATCGTTTACACTGCATATTTTAAAGTTATCACTTAATACTTTTAGTATTTGTAGTGTACAAGTATTAACAACACATTGATGATAAGCTGTACCTTAAATCTCTCTTAATTATTATTATTATTTATCTATTTACTATCGGATTTTTTAATATATATTTTGGCTTTTATATAAAAGCAATGATATTGGTGGTGAGCGCTGCATTTCTGTTGATGAAAAGACTATTAGGTATCAAAATCATACTTAATCATTCGATGAGCATTTCTTGACAAAGATACCAACTAAAATCTTGAGAAGGTAAACATAGAATTAGGGATATTCGAAGAAGCGTCTCTAGAGAAAATGCATATTTCTATATCTTATTTTAACGAGTTCTTAATCACAAATGTAATAGACTAAATAAGTGATTTTGAATTATATATTAATGTTCCATATATGAAATTTGACCCTAGATCAAATGTAGTTTTATATTTATCTGTTTATGCTTATAGGACCGTTAAAATTAAATTAATTCTAGCAATGGGTGTAACTTTTCTTAAATGAGAATGAAATATTCTGAATAACCATCAATATTCGCAATCGTTCAAGTTTGTGATTATGTTCAAAAATGATAATTAAAATGCCAACGGGGGACCATACCCACTGGTTAGGCATTATTAGTGGCACAATTTTGACGTATAAAAAGTGTTTTTTTATATATTAATCGATTTTAGAAAATTTGACACCTATGAAATTCTCGTTTGACATGCTTGTTTAATATAATACCCTTACATTACTGATAAAATTAAATTTACATTGAGTATTGTAATATTTAACAAATGTAACTACAACATACAATTTCATTGCAATTTTCAAATTTTTTAAACTAGCGATTTGGATTGTATATAGAGTCTTTAACAGACGACTGTTGCTTACTATGAAACTTTTGAACTCAAGGCTTTATGGCGACAGTGAAATCATCTCTTCGAAAAGTTATACAACTGGCATTACGATTTGGTTTAACATTATAGAATATCAAACAGACGACCAGAGATATATTCAACTTTTGGTAGCCACCATTTCGGCTTCGTCTCCTCGTTGATGAGATCACCATACGTGGCCTATCTTCTGATTATTATAAGTCATGAACAATAGGGTGTGTGCCACTGCTTAACTTCCGGAACATCTAAGTTGGATCCAAGGTCTTTGTTGGGTTTGTGTTGTTCGGTCGCTCGACAGTCCTTTTAGCATTTGTCAGATAAACCCTCTGGTTGTCAGGTTAAAAGGATTGTGAAAAATCAAACCCATCAGTCGCATATCTGTTGACATAAAAGTCCTGACATTTATAGTCATTTGTTGTCCCTCATTTGTAAACTAATATAATTTTTTCGCACGGCTTTTCGAAATTTCGGTTTTTTAATGCTATATATTTAACTTCGTATTTGATTTGGCCTTCCTACTGTTTTGACTGTTTTGACTGTTCTAACTGACCGCTGATGAGTCTTTTATAGACTAAACGCTAGTCTTGCGTACCAAATTATAAGCCTGGTATCTTTGTTGAGTTTTTATCGAAGTAGTTCCTGATGGGAAAACATAAATAAAAATAAGGCCATAGTAAATGCAATACAAATAAGGACAGAAAAACTCTTATCTCTATAATACTGGTATGATGAATAACAAAACAGTTAATACACACAAAAATAATAACCATTTACATGTAAAATATTGTTTGAACTAACTCAAAGCAAGCTCAAATATCTGCATCTGCTGATAAATGTGTTGCACTCTTATACCGGTGACTGAAATAAGAGTACATTTTATGCAGCAACGTCAAAAACATAATATGGGAAGCCTAGAGTAAATTTGTAAAGAATATCAATGCAAACTGTTTATTTTTTATTTAAGGAAGGACTGTAATATTTTTTTCGGTCTATGAAGAAATATCATCAAAAATGTGGTGCACACTGAATAACCCGTGTAGCGGGTTATTTAAAAGTGTGCACCACATTTTTGAGGTTATTTCGAATAGACAGAACAAATATTATAGTCAGTCCTTATAATTTGATTCTAAATTCAAATTTTTTTTGAAGGAGTAAATCATGAAAAAACGTTAATGACGTCACGGTCATATGACAAAATTATGTCTATGAGCTGATAGACAAAATACGTTTAACCAATCAGAAGACGTGTTACATCCAAAATTGAATTATTTCAATATAAACTAAGGAGACGTAGTATGATTTTCAATGAGAAAAACTATCCAACTAAAGTGTGTGGTACAAGATGGTCCTTATTATATTCCTTGCTAGATTTGTTTTTCTTTTTTCATGCTGGTTTTGTACAAAGCAATGTCACCACTTTAGCATTTCGTAATTTTCACTTTGTTCATGACGTTTTTGTATGGAATCTATTTCGACTTGTAGCGACATGAATCAAACGTAATGTTCGTAGCGACCTGAATCAAAATGTAATGTCGTAGAGACCTGAATCAAAATGTAATGTTCGTAGTGACCTGAATCAGCATGTGATATTCGTAGAGACCTGAATCAAAGTGTTATTTTCGTATCGATGTGAATCAAAGTGTAATGTTCGTAGCGACCTGAATCAACGTATAATGCTCGTAGCGACCTGAATCAAAGTGCAATGTTCGTAGCGACCTGAATCAAAGTGTAATTTTTCATAGCAACCTGAATCAAAGTGTAATGTTCGTAGCGACCTGAATCAAAGTTTAATGTTCGTTGCGACCTGTGTGTAATATTCATAGCAACCTGAATCTAAGTGTTATTTTTAAAGTCGATTTTTACATCAATGTTGATTTTGTTAGTTATCAATTTCGCTTACCTTTCGGATCTTTAGACATGTCTAAATCAATTAAAAAGATCAGCTATGAGTTTTACATACTATTTCCTCATTACCATATATGTGGCGCAACCAGGTACCCATCCTATTACCAACAGTCGGCACTGCAGATGTAACAGGTAACACAAATCAAAATCTATTGTACACAATCGAAAATTCATTGTATAGCAATGACAATCAGACACACAAACAAAAATCTACTGTACACAATCGAAAACTCATTGTATAGCAACGACAATCAGTCACACAAACAAAAATCTGCTGTACAAGATAGTAAAAACTAAAAACATTAGAATATGTTCCAAATTGCTATTCAAAACAATGGCAATCGGGAACATATTTTAATGTGTATGCCGTAATGATAAACAGTAATAGAGTGAACAGTTTAAATGTAATAAAAACTGACATTCAATCAATTATTTCCCTGTCCAAAAGTGTGAAACATTTTATGTTGATGTGTTTTTAATCGAAATTTGTCTATTATTAAAAAAAACATTACTAGCTCGTATAATATGTTTAAATAATGTTTTAACCCCTTTTGGTTAGGTTAGATTTATTCTATACAAAAAGAATTAATAATAGACGAAATATTTAAAAAGTTACTATCTTCATTGAACCATGACGGATGTTTACTATAACAGGACAATATTTGTATGCACAAGTATCTTGTAAAATGGATGTATATAATTGTTATCAACTTACAAGATTGTTTTTCCAAGTCATTGTATGGACCTCGTTCAACTGTAAGACAGGTAAGACTAATATGGACAAGTACTTATTTCGTCATTTTGAATATCATAGCAATAGACTTGATTGTTTCTTTGTTTTATGTATTGATATAAAGAACTTAAAACTATTAAAAAATCACAAGCACCAAACGGGCAGAAGGAACATTATTCGTTATTTCAGGGTAATATAAGGGACGGGACTACTTGTATAAAATAAACATGATTAAATACGATCGAATTCAAAATAAACTTGTAAACGTGATTTAGATAAACAACATCCCCATTTTTTTCTTTCGACTGTTTACTTATATTTCAAAAGTATTTTTGTCTCATTTTGATATTTATCATAAAATTATTATTTATTTTATACAGTTTAAATCACATCTTATTATATCTATACCATAAAACGCACATATACATGTAAAACAGCATAACAATTCTATTCACAAATTAAAAGATACCCCTCTATAAAGAAAAGAAGAGGTACGAACATATGACATATGTTTGTGTTTTTTCTTTGTTTGTGAGTGTTGCTGTTGTAAGATCACTGTTTATTTGCCGTAAAAAATGCAAAATACCTTAATCTGGAGTTAATTATTCTTTGAACCAATTTCTTATAGATGACTTTTACTAATGAAAGTTATAGTGATCGTTTACTCTTTTAGTGTTGGTATTTTTTAAATATATACATTTCGATTTTAACAATTAGGTCGTTATTTAACGATGTCTGAAGCTGGCAATGGGGGACGGGGTACAGGGGATAACTTTAAATATAATCCATACGCGTGTGTCGTCTTCATTAGACTCATCTAGAATAAGAGTCTAGTTTTATCGTGTAATGGTATACCTATAATAGCTAAAATTGATAAAGTCATCCAGCGAGATGGGTTAATTTGACATATAGGCGTCTTTCCTGTTGCAAGTGTTAATCACTCGAATTCCTATCTTATTTATCTACACTCGAAATCTCCTTTTATTCATACCATATTTTGACAATATGCGTGTTAATATATTTCGTGTTTAAAGTCTTTTAAATGGTTGCTGAAAACTGATTACAAGTATTTTTCAAAAGCATTTGTACATTTGTATAACTACATGCTCCACGTGACAGATCTTCTTGATTGATGTGGTATTTGTTGGAATGTACATTGATTTACTATATATTCAGGTAGGACTTGTTCGTGTAATACACTTACGTAAATTATTAAGAAGGATGGAATGACAAATTGTGTAATAGCTTTATAAATCATCACATAAGATTGGTAATCCAAGTATATCGGATGTTACACGTGTAAACAATCTTAAGTTATGCTTCGTAGTTTAACACGGGAATGTTATCTAGAAGTCCTTCCGGTTGATTTTCCTACTCAATTGACTTAGTGCCTACCAAGGGCATCGACGACACAATAGACTGGGTACCTGATGGCATTAATTTTTCAGCCGCAACAACGATAGGAATTTAAATTTTCTAAAGCGGCAAACAATTGAAAACAACACTTTATAAATTTCATGCGTCCAAAGCGCTTTTCTGGCTGTACGTTCATCAGGAACGCTCAAAGTCGAATATTTGAAAGTCTATGATGTGCAACAGAAACAGTTGAAGAACTATGTAAAAAGACCTAAAAAAAAATAGCCAAATCCATCTACGGTCAACTTTGCCTGAGGGAGTTGAAACCTTCGTTTCTTAATAATTTGTACTCGATATATAACGACATTTGTATCTGATTGAGTTATTCAGATACACTGCGATTATTGTTTGTTTACTCCGAATTCTCCAGTTTCTTCCATTTAAGCTGAATTTCGTATTATTTTAGATAATTGTGGTACGTGGTACACAAGATCAAATATATTTATTATATAGCATCATTGATACTAAGTCTTACATTTCATCAAGTTACTTTCAATAGAATTGATCACTTTTGTTTCAAATTGTTTTTGATTGTAAGAGTTATTCGAAGTTCAGCTACCTTGTAGCGATCATATCAGTTCTTACCCTTCCGGATCATCTGAGTTCACCTCTGTTCCAAAGGCCCTGAGTTCACCTCTGTTCCGAAGGCCCTGAGTTCACCTCTGTTCCAAAGGCCCTGAGTTCACCTCTGTTCCGAAGGCCTTGAGTTCACTTCTGTTCCGAAGGCCCTGAGTTTACCTCTGTTCCGAAGGCCCTGAGATCACCTCTGTTCCGAAGGCCCTGAGTTCACCTCTGTTCCGTAGGCCCTGATTCACCTCTGTTTCGAAGTCCCTGAGTTCACCTCTGTTTCGAAGGCCCTGAGTTCATCTCTGTTCCGAAGGCCCTGAGTTGATCTCTGTTCCGAAGGCCCTGAGTTCACCTCTGTCCCGAAGGCCCTGAGTTCACCTCTGTTCCGAAAGCCCTAAGTTCACCTCTGTTCCGAAGGCCCTGAGTACACCTCTGTTCCGAAGGCCCTGAGTTTACCTCTGTTCCGAAGGCCCTGAGTTCACCTCTGTCCCGCAGGCCATGAGTTCACCTCTGTTCCGAAGGCCCTGAGTTCACCTCTGTTCCGAAGGCCCTGATTTCACCTCTGTTTCGAAGGCCCTGAATTCACCTCTGTTCCGAAGGCCCTGAGTTCATCTCTGTTCCGAAGGCCCTGAGTTTACCTCTGTTCCGAAGGCCATGAGTTTACCTCTGTTCCGAAGGCCATGAGTTCACCTCTGTTCCGAAGGCCCTGAGTTCACCTCTGTTCCGAAGGTAAATGTTTTCTGAGTAGTATTTTGTGGATTGTTGTTTTTCTATTCGTCGTTCTTTTATTGGCCATGATTCTTCAAATTATGATTTAAGGCAGCCAATGCTGTCTTAAGGTAGTACTAAAGAATTTAAGAAAGCATAGTCAGAATTTGAGGCATATAAAATATATAGACGTGTAAGTGACTTGAATACGGTTTAAAATATAGAATCAGGAGATGTTGTATGAATGCCTATGAGACAACTACCTATTGGAGTCCAAATTGCGTGTATTTATAATTTATGCAACCATTTTAATCATCAACCACCAACTTTTTAGGTGTAATTTGCACTTAATCGAATTTGAACGAACAAAAGTAAATTCAAACAGCTAGAAAATTCTCAATAAATACACAATAAAACTGCACCTATGCGCATTGATTTCAAAGTGGTCTTCTCACACCTTTTTTAAATATAGAAAGAACGCACCACAAGATTCTTCAACGGTCAAGATCGTGGAAAAAAAACCCGAAACACGATCTAGTGAAATCGACACGAAAAATGTGTTGCTTCCGGAAATTTAGTTTTTTCCATTAAGGAGACAATCACGAGAGGTACGAAACAACTGGACCCAAGACAACTATGGCCGTCTATAAAGATAATTCAGACCGTTCCACATACCGTATCTGATGCACTTTTTGTTCAATTTTGAAAAAATTTTTAATCAGTTTATGTTCACCAGTGAATATTATTTTTCCATTCGTGCTCGGCAGAGTAACGCCAATGCCCATGACTAGTAGATTAGTCCTTAGCCTATAGCATGTGATTTTGCATTCTCTTTCCGTTTATAACGTGTTCGTGCTGAATTTTTTACTTTTCATATGTATTCTTTTTTTAACGCGAACGTCTCATTGACGTCACATTGATATTAAAAAACGCAAATAGTGTCGAGCTCATTAAGTCAGTCCGACTTTTCCCGTTAGCATAGATAATTTGAGGAAGTTGTAAACACAAATCGGGGTTTCCAAAGCATGTTTGAAATTTTGAGTTGATTTTCTCCCTGTGTCTTCTTTAGATGCATAAAAACTGTGATCATGCATCATGGATGTATTGTCACTATTAAAATGGTAGGTACCGCGTCTATGAGTTTAGTTTGTTACTTCGTGCCCGAATGACGTTACAAATCAGGTCGTTTTTTCAACCCATGTCCCTTTTATATATAACTTTTGAACTTTTCGAAATACTGAGGATTTTCTACCTGAAGAATAGATTACATTAGCTGTATATGGTAAAATCTGTGAAGCTTTTGGTCCTCAGTGCTCTTCAACTTCGTACTTTTTTTTTGTCTTTTAACTTTTTTTATTCGAGCGTCACTGATGAGTCTTTTGTAGACAAAACGCGTGTATGGCGAACAAGATTGCAAACCTGGTATCTTTGACAATGTTTGAGGAGTTTTTTAAAGGCTGAAAAAAACTTCCATATCCGTAAGTAACTTTCTCTTTCGACCAAAAATATGAATATACTACATTTCAAATTTATGGATGTTCAACGTGTCGCTGGAAAAGGTAACATTTTTCAGCTTGAAAATATGTGCATAGTTCGGAAAACTATTAGAAATATATGAAAAGGTCAATAAAGTTCCCATTATTTGTTATATGAAAAGCCCTGTTATTTTTTCACAGCCGAAAGTCTCACCGTAAGAAAAGATTACATAAGGAATCTAAGCCTCAGATTTGAGCTCCGAGCAAAGGTGATATTTTCCCGATCATGGTATTCCACTTTTCCAAAACACCACACGAAACCAAACCAATAAGGGAAAATGTTACATTTAACGTACGCAACATATGAAAAGGTATACATTTCTACAATCTAAATTATATGTAAAGGGTGGGGTAACAGAACCCCAGCGGCACCCCTATCAATTAAGTATTGCAGTAATGAATTGGTTACTCGTGCACTGATAAGCTTCTCGATGATCAAAATTATTGTTTGTCAAACTGCTATATATCCAATGAAATTATTCCTGTAAATTGTGTGGTTTAAATTTCTTTAAATTTTTATATTTTTGTGAACATGTCAAAGTAAATATTTTGTCAAAATTTTATGAAAATTAAACGAGTCAGATCTATTTTATTCAAAGTGTTGGTTACGCCCGGTTTTTTTTTCTGTTGAATTCATACCGAGTTCACTGAAACTTTAAATGAAGACCCCATTTAAGTCGCATATTCCAAATATCAATGATTGATCATCTACAGCTTAAAGTCTTATTCAAATATAAAATAAGGAGATGTTGCATTATTGCCAATTAGACCAATTGCATAGATATTAGCAATAATAGTTTACCAATAATGAGCGAAACACATACCGCAAAGCAAGCTATAGTATACACATAAAAACTTTTTCAAACAAATAAAAAATGCGTTCTGTTTATTTTTTGCAATGTACGTCATGATTGTTAACCTTTCACTCCTTTAGAACTGTAAATCAGATACATGTATGATATGTATGTTGCACCCTGATCATATTTGGTCATCTATCTGTCTAAATTCTTTACTCATGCTACACCTATTGTGTTCATTTTACAATAAACGACATATTTAGAGAATTACATGTAATCTGGTTAACGTATGACGGGGACAAATAATTATTAACTGAGGTAATAGCAAAATTGATCAGTGTAAAGTAAGCCATTTAAATAAAACATAATTATCATCCTTTTTGTTCGTATGTATAGATCAACGTTCTTGGGCTTTTAATTGTAACACAATAAAATGTGTCAAAAACAAGTATCGTTTTAGTTAAGGTGGCATTTAAATTGAATTTGATATTTTGTTAACTTATATTTACCGGTGAATTTTACTTAGTTCGTGGTTTATCTATTTTCTTTTGTAACATTGTATTTTGAATTAATTTAAATCGACAATATACCATTTCATACCACAACATTAACAGATACTAACAACATCCAATGGTTAGCACAATATTTCGTTTCTGTATTTCTATATCATAATTCGTTACATGTATCGGTAGCTTTTGACTTCCAGTTCTAAACAATAGTTATTAATACATGTGTGGCTGTGATTATTCTATCTCCTTTTAATTTTATGAATGAAACTAATCCATGTATGGTTGTTGTCGCTTACTGTTTATGTACAAATGTATAAGACTGCTGTACATATATTGTTGTTTGTCTTTGTCTCTATTGTCTGTAATGAGTAATCTGGGGCTTGTGAAATGATGCATGGGCGTTTCCGTCGTTCATAGATATTAGAAGATGTGGTATGAGTGCCAATGAGACAACTCTCCATCCAAGTCACAATTTGTAAAAGTAAACCATTATAGGTCAAAGTACGGCCTTCAACACGGAGCCTTGGCTCACACCGAACAGCAAGTTATAAAGGGCCCCAACAATTACTAGTGTAAAACAATTCAAACAGGAAAACCAACGGTCTAATCTATATAAAAAACGAGAAACACTTATGAGCCACATCAACAAACGACAACCACTCAACATTAGATTCCTGACTGTATGTCGACCTCTAGATACTTTTTTCAATCATTTTTGTTTGATTGCTACTTCTTTGCCTTGAAGCCAAATCTCTATTTCATGTGTTTCTCTAATGTAACATTACTAAAATATATGTTTGTTGTTAATATTTTTCATTTTACTCCAATCAAAATTGAAATTCCAGTTTGATTGATTGTTGCTTGTTTATCAGTGGCAATTATTTCAAGCATGTTCAGAATGAGAACAAATTATACAATAGATTAGTTCTGACAGAAGTATAAAAAGAAGGAGATGTGGTATGACTGTCAATAAGACAACTATCCACCAAAGTTTAAATGCAGTGGATTTTAGCGATAAAGGCAACAATGAGAAAAAGCCATACCGTATAGTCGGCTATAAAAAGCCTGGACATGAAAAATATGAAACAATTCAATTTAGAAAAAGAACGACTAAATTTGTAACAAAACAATTTACGAAAAAAAAATATGACAGACATGAACCAACGACAACCACTGAACTACAGGCTCCTGACTTGGGATAGACACATAAAGAATGTGGCGGGGTTAAACATGTTTGCTGGCTCCAAACCCTCTCCCTAACCTGGGACAGCGTAGTAACATTACAACATAAGAATAAACTGTAAAAAACAGTTGACAAGGACTTAACTCATCAGATCAATACATAGCAGGAAAACATTTATACATTTTATACATCCCTCACAACAAAAAAGACACAAAGTACCTATCTGACAGTACTCGCTGTTTCTGACAGCTAGATCAAAGCAAATAACAACTAATAAAAAAATCATGTATCTAAGACTAAAATATATCGGTAAAGATGAGGGATTGTAATCAAGGCTGCAACTGGAAAAGGACCAGATTGTAAAGGGACAGAAAATTTGCATTACAAGGCCACTTACGGACCGCTCAGAGTTGTCTGTACAGTACTTAAATGTGGAAACGCGTGACCCTCTCCCTTCACAAGGCATTATATTTTACGTTACTATTCGTATTTCAACCGGACGTGGTTGGGCATTTATACAGTCAAGTGGAAGCTCCCTTAGCTAGGGATCCACAGCCTGACGGGAAAAGTCCAGGGCTGACCTAGTCAACCTTTGGTGTCATTTCAGTTTAAATGAAAATCATTTACCAAGGTTTATCAAAAAAGAATTAATTCTTTATCATTCGTCAATCCAAAATTTTAATATTTTTTGCTGGATTAGTATATTCGATGAGCCTTACTGACTTTCTGTTTACTGTGTTAATATCGTGTACATTTTGCATTTGCTATCAGCACAAATAAAAACATCAATCATTTTGGAAAATGTACAAATTTCGTTAACCAAAATTTAACCGTATCGTAATAGTATAAATTTAAATTTCTCTTTATCTTGCATGATTTATTGGCATGACATGTTTAAAAAGAAAATATATATTAATTCATTGCAATTTTTTAAAGTACATTATTTCAATTTGAGATAAATCACATCGATTGCTCTATGAAGAATAATCTGAAGTGTATTTCAATGAATTCCAAATATATCATATTACATTTTTTACAACTTGCATCCTTTTAATCAAAAAAGATATGATTATAATTTTTCCAATGTGTGGATTTTTAAATTATTTGAAATTTTATATCTTAAGAATTTACTTTCAGTATAAACTGTAATCTTTGATCATTGATATGAATCAATAAAAGTATATGTCATTAAAATTTGTGCAAGTAACATTAAATGTAGTTCGTATGATATCTATAGACACAGATGGACAACTTCAAACTAGAATATATTACAAACGTGATGATTTCAACTTTCCAATTGTCAACTTCCCATTTCTTAGCAGTAACATACATTTGTACCCTCTGTCCCATCGTATGGTGTTTACATATCTCAATTCACACGTTACCAACGTGCATGTTTACACTATACGAACTTCATTAGCAGGGGTGTGCTCCTTACACAAAAATGATCCAACGGAATTATTGGACGTTACAGATATCTTGTAATGATTCATTGTAGGGGTTCGTAAGTAGCCTGTTACAAGGCGAATATCCAACATACTTTTGTTTTCATAGTATTTCAATTGTCCTGCTTAATATAATTTAACACTAGGCATATTACCAACGTTTTTTTTTTTTTGTGTTTAGTCAATTCTTTTGAAAAGATTTTTTGTTAATTGAATGTTTTGTTGAGAATTACTAAATTGACTAAAGATGACAGGTGAAACCAAAAACACCCATCGAACTTGTCATACGTTGTCATTTTTGTTATTTTTTCTCCTTCGTTATGTTTCTTTTTTTCTTTTTCAAGATTTCTAAGTTGACAAATTTATAGTTAACGTTTTTTTCTAGCATGAAGTGTTTGTTATTTTCATTCCAGAACATAAAAACAAACTTCTTCATAAAAATATGATTTAAAACTATTTGCCTTTTTACTATATATTTTTATTACTGAATCCCCTGTTACTAATATTATATTTTTTAGAAAGTGCATGTACGTTTCCATCATATTTAATTGGTCAATGGACAGATGTGACCAAAGGTGCAAACATAACATTCCAGACAACACCTTCAAAGTTAACAGATTGGAAAGTTAAAGTTACGGGTGTAAACTATGACGGTCAAACATGTATCCACAACACTGGAAACGTCTATGTTTTTGAGTAAGCATATCTATCAACCATTTCTCAATACATTTCTGAAAAATGTAGATTTTACTTTACAGTTTTTATTAATGTAGTTCTTGAATTGACATGTAGGAAATACTTTTTAAAAGCTGCTTTATAAAAACAAGAAGATATGGTATGATTGCCAATGAGACAAACACTTTCCACCAAAGACCAAGACATGAATTGTTCGACTGATTGAGGCTTATCTGCTTGTGTTCCATGCCAAGTATTAGAGGTCTAGGACTGGCTGTATAATGCTTGATTTCATCAATAAATGATAATTTCAATACAACGTCGATACATTTCAAATCAGTTTAATGTTATTAACTTAAAGGCACATTATTACAGTTTTGCTCTCTTTGTCGCGATCTCAAAGTGACAAACACATTTAGTCTTCAGATGTTCATGACATTTCCTCAATTTTTTATCTGATCAATGTTATTAACCTTTAATATTTTGGAGAAAAAAAGATTTGTGCATAAGAGAATTCTGTTCTTTGAATGAATCCACTTAATTCTAATGAAACTGATACGCATAACAATTGCAGGTTTTGCGACTTCGACTCACACTATTTTTTACTGTAAAGTCCTTAACGGTATAAAACTAAACCCTATCTAATAAAAAAAACTCCTTCACTAAAAGACAATTCCGTTTATAAGGAAGAGTTTAAACAAAAAGTTATACGACTAGGCACATACACAATTCTTTTTTTGGGTGGGGGTTGGGGGGGGGGGGAATTACACACTATATAAAGCATTTGTTTTTTCTCCCGGCCCTCATCCGTCTGTCCATAATCATGAAGCTTTGTGAACACTTTTCCTCATTGATCGTTTGCCTGAAATCGTCTTCAATATGTAGAATTGTATGTCAATAAATGTAGTTACTACACTGCAAGATTTATGTGGTTACTTTTGATGGTGTTATGGGACGTTGAAAGTTTTTGGTCAATTGTGCATTTTGACACCTTGTGGACGCTGCTACCGTGAGACTTTATGTCCGAAAGTTTTATTGTATATATTGTGTTTCAACTCATGACACAAAAACACTAACTTCTACAACATGAAAAATAACAAAAGAAAAAGAACAGCGCTTATATTGCTAATTTATAAGACGTTTAATAAGAAACAAAACCTCTCACTTCATTGTAAGTTCTAGACAGCACATTTCTTTGCTAAAAGTCTTCCATGCTACATTATTACCCGAACAACACAGCTGTGTGCTAAAATCTACAAATTATAATTTATATGAGGCAAAGAAATTAATTTATCATAATATTTAGTACTTTTAATGCTATTGATTTCTGCCAGCACATTGCCATCCAATCAACAACAATAATTCAAACTATTACGGACTCAATATTGATACTTGTAAACAGATTTTAACATCTATATTATCTATATTAGCAACTAAAAACATTAATTGGCAAAATAATCTTTCCATTTCCACAATATTTATAAGAAGAAACCCGATGTTCCTTTTGTTTTCTACTTGAAATATATGTGTATGTTATATTGCATTGTTTAAATTTCTAGAGGAGACGATACCTTTTTCGACCCATTTGTTAACGGAATCAGAAAGTACTATATGTGTATGAAGATTACAAAGATATCTAATGATGTTCTATATTATTACCTCTTGGCAGGTAAGACTATTTATTACATATGAAAAATAACATACACAAATAACCATGCAACACCATAGCACTCTAAAGGTCCACATTCGATTTTTTACTGTCTATATCATATATATTCTTAAAATCGAACCAAGATAATAAATTCCAAGTACGTTAAGGTAAGTATACACTGCTAAAATGAGCATCTATGTGAGTAACTTTGCCAACGGCATATTGCAATATTCTGTTTAGTTAATCATACATTTGTCGTATTATTTAGTCGCCGCTTTTAACACTTTGAAACAAAACAAAAAAAGTTATTAATGCTATAATGGGTAAACAAATGCTTAACACGTTTTACCTCGTTCCTGACAACACATATTTGAAATAGAGAATAAAAATTTAAAAATACGAGAAATATAGGTTTTCACAAAAAAAAATCTGAACAGATGTTGAAATCGGTCGACGAATAAATCAACTTGAAATTACTAAAAAAAAGTATGACCAAACGAATGAGTTTATCAAAAATCGTAAATCGAAGAAAGTCGGACAAGATGAACGCTCAGCACCATTATAGATAAGGCAAAGAAAAATACGAACATGTAATTTGAATCTGCCAAAACCTGTTGAACGCATACTTATTTGGTAAGTTAAGCAAGTCTACTGCAATGCATACATCCTGTACATTCTTTCTTTAAACTCGTTAGACGTAGCCTTCAGAGATTTAAAGACAGATAAAAAGGGCAACAAAGACAAATGAAAAATATCCGTGGTCATCACTAGCAGACCAAAGAGGTCAAATTTACCATATAGATTCATTGGCGTATTTTGCAGCACCATAAGCCCTGCGCTTGAATGCAGCTTCATAGAAAAGATAAATTATAATGGTAGTCTTTTTGTACAAATGATTAGTTATCATATGAGTATCAATTTCTAAGTGTACGTCTAGATATGAAGCAGTCCTAACTGTATTTATTGAATCCGTATTTAAAGCACCAAGTCAGACGTTATCAACATAATCATCAAACGACACATTATTATGTTTGAGAACATTAACTATGGAGGATCTTGAAGTCAAATAATAATACTTGTTTCTTTTTATTTTGTCGTGAGAGGCTACTGTTAGAATTTCGTCTTTACAAATAAAGGAACGATATATAGACTAAATAATAAGCTGCTAAGAGAAGCCCAATCTATGTTTGAAATCACTCCCAATAATGCATAAACAATATGTTGTCAATAAAAAATCAACCATCTTGATGCTCTAGGTGTTAATTGACGTTTTGTTACAATCAAAGCTATTTTTTTTACAAGTATAAAAAAAATTTGGGGACTCATGCAACTTTTGGTCTACACAGAAGCAAACCACGTGTACATGATGATCTAAATAAAACATTTTTGTAGAATATATCTTTAAGTTGATACCATATTCCTGAGCTTGCCTTTCCTATGATTATTTTCCTGCATTGTCTTTTCTAAGAATTTCAACCTTTTAATACAGAGGAAATAATTCCTTCCATGCATGATATTGTTTCCTTTGCTGACTCTTTTACTGTTATTGTTATAACGTATTACGGTGATAAATGTAAACCGTGTAATCAGAGCAATGGGTAACATGCATGTGGAAAAACCTTTATAAATCGTTCCGAATTTTTTTTTTTTCCTTCAGCAATTTTTATGACTTGTGATTGACTTGTGTAGTATTTTGTTTTTCACATTATGTCGATAAGATATATGGTATATTATGACAACAGTTGTTGCTCTTTTGAAACTCACACTTTCACTGAACACTTTTCTTTGCAAATGTCATTTCCCTGAAGCCTGTTTTTCCCTTATAATAATAATTAGAACAATTTTAACCGCAGCAATACGGTGTCTCCTTATGAGAATCATTTCCTTTTCATTATTTGAAAAAACTGATTTATAAGTGTAACACATCAAGCCCAAGTGATAGAGACCTTCGGTAATTTATACCCTTGGTCTATCAAAGGAATTTAAGGTCAAGGTCATATGTCAAAAGTCACATGTTCTTAATTTTGAATTAAGCTTGTTTTCGCTCCAACACAAAAACTGTAACATGGAAAATACTTTTATCAAAATAGAACGATAAAATTTTTATAGGCGGTTTTCTCTCCCTATGTGTGTCAAATTAGTTGTATGATGATAGTATTCAAAAACCATGCATAATAAAGACCTAGGTCTATTGATGTCAGATGTTTGCTTTCAGACCTTGAAATCAAGGTCAACTGTCAATTTGACGTTCTAAATTTTCATCTTTGCTATAACGTCATATTGGTACATTTGTGAATGATAAAACCAAGAGGTCTTTGTATAAGGTTTGAATTTAAATGATTTTGAAAAAGTTGAACCGGAACAGCCTTTGATTAAATCGGAGGTAGCACTGTTTGCACTAATAACATGTAAAAGTACCTAGAACCATACATTTTTTTTAAATCAGTGGGAATTCACTTATCATATGAAACCGAAAAAGACATTTTGAATCCGGCAGTAGCACAAGTCATGTTATCCTGTATTTCAATCAAAAGTTAACCCTCGCCGTAATCGATCTCTCCTACTTACCAGGGTCTAAATTTTTTATGCACTAAAAATGCAGGCCGATAATATTTTCGTTTGAATTGTTTTACTTTTAGTTGTTAACTTCTATGTCATTTGGTCTCTAGTGGAGAGTTGTCTTATTGGCAACATACCACATCTTCTTATTTTCATATTCTAGCCACTTTTGGGTTTATTGCTATGGACATTTTATATGTTTGGATTTCCAAATATTTGGTCTTGAATGTAACTATTGCATATATTTCTATAGGTTGATAATCTCTTCAACTTTTTAACCAAACTTGATACATACGGAATAGGCACTTTCACAGTAAATCTGAGGTCCGGCTTTGATAGAATACATGCAAGTAAGGGATTGTGCTTGATTTTTATATGATGAAGACATAATCTTTTAATCAGTTTAATTGAGGTCTGGAGCTGGCATGTCAGTAACTGCTAGTAGTCCTATGTTTATTTATATATCATTGTCATTTTGCGTAGTTTCTTTTGTTACCCATTCTGACATCGGACTCAGACTTCTTTTAAACTGAGTTTTACTGTGCGTATTGCTGTGTGTTTCTTTATTCTACATAGGCTAGAGGTATAGGGGGAGGGTTGAGATCTCGCAAAACAAGTTTAACCCCGCTGCATTTTTGCGCCTGTCCCAAGTTAGGAGCCTCTGGCCTTTGTTAATTTTGTATGTTTTTTTAATTTTAGTTCATTTATATGTTTTGGAGTTTAGTATGACGTCCATTTTCACTGAACTAGTACACATTTTTATTTAAGGGCCACTTCCGGGTGCGGGATTTTCTCGCTGTGTTGAAGTCCCATTGGTGGCCTTGGGCTGTTTTCTGCTCTTTGGTCGGGTTGTTGTCTCTTTGACATATTCCCCATTTCCATTCTCAATTTTAAGTAATAAAGAAAGAAGGTCATATAAGAATTTTGATTGACCTATCATCTAGTATCCAGTAGAGTGAAGTAGGATCCAATTACTCATTCATTGAAATCACAGCTTTTAAGTCACACACCGTTGAAACCACTAACTAAACAAAACATTTCGGTAATAATATTTTCACTACTAATCATTATGTGTTGTCTAGAAACATAAAATCTAATCCACGAAATAACTATTCAATTTGTTAGAATTTTGATTTTAGATACAAATTCTGAAGCAGATAGAGAAAGAATTTACACACCACACCCAGCACCAGATGTCAGCACTACTCCGACGTGCGATTACTGTCAATTTACCGAAACAATACCTGACAGCGATTTTCGGGAACTAAGAAAACTAGGTATGGCCTTATAATATAGTTATATTTAAAAGTTTATATCAGAAATTTTTACTTAACTTCATACTCTTTGTGTGTCACAGTTTGTAGATTAACAAATGGTCATTTACAGAACGTTATATAGCGATATGTTAGAGGTAAGCTTCTTAACATCCATAATAGATCCGTCATAAGTTTCCTACTAAGGACAATTAAAGAAAACTTCTAAAGATTTTTCGAAGATATATGTACATGTATATACTTACTGCTTCAAACTACGATCTATGCGGGGGAAAATTTAATCAGTTATGTGTACAGTCAGTATAAATGTGTTCTGAGATATCTTACATGGTGGTTTTAACGAAATGCGAAATAATCATTTAAGAAAATGTTTTACAAAATCACGAATTCTTCTAAAACAAAATGTTTTTAATTATCAACAAACCAATAGTATCGATAATTTTCATTGTATAAACCATGGTTTATGTAGGCCATAGATCAATATAAAAGTTTTAGTTGTATTTCTACTTTTTAAAGACTTTTATTCATTTTTTACCATTTCACGAAATCTCACATTTGCTTAATATAATAAAACTTTTACTAGATAGTAAACCTCTAATTTCTTATAAATAAGATTAAAATTAGATGTGGGGTATACACCAATAGCACAGTAACTCAACGACAAAAGATACAATTATAAAGTATTCATACTAAATAACAAGTTTTTAATCGACTAGAATGAAGAAAAGCTGTAAATTACAAAAAATATGACTGATGAACAAAATTTTATGCAGACAATTTTGTTTAAGAAATCTAGCGTAAGTTGTATTTTAGCGTTATGAAATTGCGAACAAAAAGATATTAAGTTGGCTAGTGCAAGCGATTGACATGCTTTTTCATTTTTAAATTAAGATGATATTCTACAAACAAGTTCACGATTATGTTATTTATTTCAGAGTCTATGCTATTTTGAAAGATATTATCTCTTTATAAAATCTTTTTAAGGTACAAGTGAAACGTTGACCTCGACCCCTTCTCTCTGTCTGCCATGTGAAGTAACGTGCGAAGAGAATACCACTTTAAAAGCCTCAACACTGGGACCGTCCTCTCCACTTGCAGTAGTGACAACAATGCCTTCCTCAACCATTCAAACAACACCAGAAGTATCAACTCCTTCAATATTACAATCTTCTACAACAGAAATGTTAACAACAACAAAAGTAACACATGAATCTTTAAAACAGGCAACAACAAACGGAGCAGGTAATTAAAAAATTTTAAAAAATGTGTGTTAAGAGTCATTAGACAGCAATTTAACTACACGAAAACCAAACAAATATATGTCAACTCCTTTTACACAGCTTATACTTATAAGCTATATAGATTATGTTCTCTCACTAAATCATTCAAAATTTGGTGTTGAACGCATCTATCCCATCGAACTTGAGATAAAGGATACAACAAATACAATTGAGTCTGCCTCATATCTTGACTTACATATAGAAATTTACAAGGACGGTCGGTTGAAAAAACAACTTTACGAGAAAAGAGATGATTTCAGCTTCCCAATTGTGAAATTCCCATTTCTATGTAGCAACATTCAAGCAGCACCTACTCACGGAGTATATATTTCCCGGTTGATACGTTATTCCAGGGCTTGTATTTCCTATCATGATTTCCTTAATAGAGTGTTGCTGCTCACAAGGAAGCTATGAAACCAAGAGTTCCAGGTGGTGAAGTTGAAATCGTCCCTTCGTAAATTTTACGGACGCCATCACAAGTTGGTTGACCGTTATCTAATATCCGTTTCACAGATGACAACGGATCAGTTCCAATTGTTGTAATTACAATCCCGTTCCCATTTCCCCGAGTGTGACCTACGAGTAAGACTTATTACCGGGTTTGTACTAACTTGAGCAACACACGGGTGCCACATGTAGAGCAGGATTTGCTTACCCTTCCGGAGCACCTGAGATTACCTCAAGTTTTTGTTGGGGTTCGTGTTGCTCAGTCTTTGGTTTTCTATGTTATGTTTTGTGTACTGTTGTTTGTCTTTTTCTTTTTAGCCATGGCGTTGTCAGTTTATTTTCGACTTGTGAGTTTGAATGTCCCTTTGGTATCCTTCGCCTCTCTTTTATAATATATCAAAGAAAAGTCAATCAAAAGCGTACGAGTGTTATCAGTGCATTAAGAATTATCACTCTAAATAAATAAGACATAATTAAGGAAATTAGGGAATAAGTATTAGAATAAGTGGGTATGGTATTATTGCCAATGAGACAACTTTTGACAACTGTCCAAAATGAATTAAATCTTATTATTTATAGGTCACCATCAATGGGCTTTAACAACACCAATATGGAATAGTCAGCTATAAAATTTCTCATTGTTAGTTTATCATTACGAAGCTACTGCCTGATGGTCCTTAGATTACTATTACTATAGATTTCTCCGTGAATAATATATACTCACATTATGTGCCAGCAATTTTAAGTATTCAAAAGATTGCCAGTCCAATTTATATTACGCTCGTGAGTGATTTTGTTTTCAATCTGTTTGACTGTATATACTTATTCGTAAGCAATCGATCCATCAGATAGAGTAATTCAGTTTAAACACTGATTAAAGTTGTTAATACTAACAAAAGAGTGAAATGTGTGAGCACTCGTATCTATCGTCCTCGACCCAAATGTTGCTAAACACATTTCATACCTCTTTGACATATATGTTGTTCTCCGCTTAGAGTTTATTATCGTCATTTATGGCCTTCCTAGCTTCTTTATATGTTTGTCTATTAAAAGTGTTTTTTGTGTATATTGCAAGTTTAAGGGGGTACAGATCGCCTAAGGGAATTGACTCTTTAAAATTCACCTCAACGTTTTAATCACATACTATTAGTAAAGAGGAATCAAACTTCTCGAAGTTCAAAATTATTGTTTGTCAAACTGTTATATATCCAATGAAATTATTCCTTTAAATTGTGTGGTTCAAATTTCTTGAAATTTTCGTATTTTTGTGAACAGGTCAAAGTAAATATTTTGCCAAAATTTTATGAAAATTAAACGAGTCAGATCTATTTTATTCCATGTGTTGGTTACGCCCGTTTTTTTTTTCTGTTGAATTCATACCGAGTTCACTGATGTTTTAAATGAAAACCCCATTTAAGTCGCATATTCAAAATATCAATGATTGATCATCTACAGCTTAAAGTCTTACCCAAATATAAAATAAGGAGATGTTGCATTATAACCAATTAGACCAATTGCATAGATATTAGCAATAATAGTTTACCAACAATGAGCGAAACACATACCGCAAAGCAAGCTATATCTGATGTTCAGTAGTTGTCGTTTGTTGATGTGGTTCATAAGTGTTTCTCGTTTCTCGTTTTTTATATAGATTAGACCGTTGGTTTTCCCGTTTGAATGGTTTTACGCTAGTAATTTTTGGGGCCCTTTATAGCTTGCTGTGCGGTGTGAGCCAAGTCTCCGTTTTGAAGACCGTACTTTGACCTATAATCGTTTACTTTTATAAATTGTGACTTGGGTGGAGAGTTGTCTCATTGGCACTCATACCACATCTTCGTATATCTATATAGTATACACATAAAATCTTTCAAACAAATAAAAAATGCGTTCTGTTAATTTTTGCAATTTACGTCATGATTGTTAACCTTTCAATCCTTAGAACTGTAAATCAGGTACATGTATGATATTCGTTCGGTTGCACCCTGATCATATTTGGTCATCTATCTGTCTAAATTCTTTACTGATGCTACACCTATTGTGTTTATTTTACAATGAACGACATATTTAGAAAATTACATGTAATCTTGTTATCTTATGACGTGGAAAAATAATTATTAACTTGCTTAATATGTTCTTTCTGAGGTAATAGCAAAACTGATCAGTGTAAAAGAGGGACGAAAGATACCAGAGGGACAGTCAAACTCACAGATCGAAAACAAACTGACAACGCCATGGCCAAAAATAAAAAGACAAACAGACAAATAATAGTACAGATGACACATCATAGAAAACTAAAGACTAAGCAACACGAACCCCACCAAAAACTGGGGGTGATCTCAGGTGCTCCGAAAGGGTAAGCAGATCGTGCTCCGCATGTGGCACCCGTCGTGTTGCTCATGTTATTACAAATCCGGTAAATAGTCTAATTCGGTAGGTCACATTCTTGATAAGGGAAGGGTATTGTAGTTACGACATAAGGAACATATCCGATATCATCTGTGAAACGACATCAGGAACATATCCGATATCATCTGTAAAGTAAACCATTTAAATAAAACATATTATCATCCTTTTTGTTCGTATGTATGGGTCAAAGTTCTTGGGCTTTTAATTGTAAAACAATAGAAAAGTGTCAAAAACAAGTATCGTTTTAGTTAAGGTGGCATTTAAATTGAATTTGACATTTTGTTAATTTATATTTACCGATGAATTTTACTTAGTTCGTGGTTTATCTAGTATTATCTTTTGTAACATTGTATTTTGAATTAATTTAAATTGACAATATACCATTTCATACCAAAACATTAACAGATACTAACAACATCCAATGGCTAGCACAATATTTCGTTTCTGTATTTCTATATCATTATTCGTTACATGTATAGGTAGAAATGCTTAATCTTACGCTTCTTAACAATAATTACTGATAGATGTGCCACTGGAGAAGCGGTCAGTGATTATTTTATCTCTTTTTAATTTTATAAATAAACTAATTCATTAACGGTTATTGTCGCTTTCTGTTTATTTGCATATGTAAAGTTTGCTGTATATTGTTTATAATTGTTTGTCCTTGTCTCTATTGTCTGCAATGGATAATCTTGACATGTGCTTGGGAAATAATACAAGGGCGTTTCCGTCGTGCATGACTGTATGTCGACCTCTAGATATTTTTTTTTTTTATTGTTGTTGGATTGCTGCTTCATTGCCCTGAATCCCAATTTCTATTTCATGCGTTTGTCTACTGTAACATTACATTTGTTGTATATATTTTTCACTTTACTTCAATCAAAATTGAAATTCCAGTTTGATTGATTATTGCTTGTTTATCAGCGGTAATTATGTCAAGCATGTTCAAGATTAGAATAAATTAACAATTTCATACACTAGGTTGGTTCTTACAGATATATAGAAATAAGGAAATGTGGTATGATTAACTATGAGACAACTATCAATCAAAATTCAAATGAAATGGATGTCAGCAGTTAGAGGCAACCGTACGGCCTTCAACAATGAAAAACCCCGTACTGTATAGTCGACTATAAACGGCCCCAATGTGAAAAATATGAAACAATTCAATGGAGAAAACTAACGGCATAATTCATAACAAAACAATATACGAAAAACAATTTTGTCAGGATGAACCAACGACAACCACTGAACTACAGGCTCCTGACTTGGGACAGGCATTTAACGAATGTGGCGGACTAAAACATGTTTGTTGGCGCCAAACCCTCCCCCTAACCTGGAACAGCGGTGTTACAGTACAACATGATAACAAACTATTAAAAACATCTGAAAAGGGCGAAAAGAGCTTAGCTCATCAGATCAATACAAAGCAGAAAACATTTTTAAAAAAACACACAGACCGGACGTGACAGGAAACTTATACGTTCTTCACAACAAGAAAGACACAAAGTACAGTTCTGAGTGTACTCGCAGTTACTGACAGCCAATTCAAAGCCAATAACAACTAATAAAAAATCATGTATCTAAGACTAAAGTTTGTCGGTCTAGATAAGGGACTGACAATTAAGGCTGCCACTGGAAAATGACCAGATTGTGAAGGGACAGTAATTTTGTATTACAAGGCCACTTACGGACCGCTTATGGAATAGTTGGTAGAGTACTGGTCGAGGGGCATTGGATTTTACGATACACTTATAATTACTACCGGGCGTGATTGGGCAATTATACACCCTGTAGAACCAAGTAGACACTCTACAATTAAGGGTTTTACTGCCGGTCGGCAGAAGTCCAGGACTGACATAGTCAACTCTTGGTGTCATTTCATTTTAAATGAAAATCATTTACCAATCATTAGTATAGTCGATGAGCCTTACTGACTATTTGTATTCTTTGTTGGGATAAAACCATGTAAATTTCGTATATACTATCAGCACAAGAAACACATCAATCATTTTGGCAAATGGATAAATTTCGTTAACGAAAAATTTAACCGTATCGTAATAGTAAAAATTTGAATTTCTCTTTATCTTGTATAATTTATTGGCATGACATGTTTAAAAAGAAAATATATATTTATTCATTGCAATTTTTTTAAGTACATTATTTCAATTTGAGATAAATCACATCGATTGCTCTATAAAGAATAATCTGAAGTGTATTTCAATGAATTCCAAATATATCATATTACATTTTTTACGACTTGCATCCTTTTGATCAAACAAGATATGATTATAATTTTTCCAATGTGTGGATTTTTAAATTATTTGAAATTTATATCTTAAGAATTTACTTTCAGATACGAATCAATAAAAGTATATGTCATTAAAGTTCGTACAAGTAACATTAAATGTAGTTCGTATAATATCTATAGACACAGATGGACAACTTCAAACTAGAATCTATTACAAAAGTGGTGATTTCAACTTTCCAATTTTCAACTTCCCATTTCTTAGCAGTAACATACATTTGTACCCTCGTATGGTTTTTACAAATCTCAATTCACACGTTACTAACATGCATGTTTACACTATACGAACTTCATTAGCAGGGGTGTGGTCCTTACACAAAAATGATCTAACGGAATCATTGGAAGTGAAAGATATCTTGTATTATTATACTTCATGTCAAAATGCCAGATTTTGATTTGATAATACGAGGGAGACAATTTACTCTCTCCTTCGTTATGTTTCTTTTTTTCTTTTTTTAGATTTATGATTTGACAAATTTACAGTTAACGGTTTTTTTCTAGCATGAAGTGTTTGTTATTTTCATTCCAGAACATAAAAACAAACTTCTTCATTAAAATATGATTTAAAACTATTTGCCTTTCTACTATATATCTTTATTACTGAATTACCTGTTTCTAATATTATATTTTTCAGAAAATGCATGTACGTTTCCATCATATTTAATTGGTCAATGGACTGATGTGACCAAAGGTGGAAACATAACATTCCAGACAACACCTTCAAAGTTAACAGATTGGAAAGTTAAAGTTACGGGTGTAAACTATGACGGTCAAACATGTATCCACAACAATGGCAATGTCTATGTTTTTGAGTAAGCATATCTATCAATCATTTCTCAATACATTTCTGAAAAAAGTAGATTTTACTTTACAGTTTTTATTAATGTAGTTCTTGAACTGAAATCTAGGAAATACTTTTTAAAAGCTGCTTTATAAAAACAAGACGATATGGTATGATTGCCAATGAGACAAACACTATCCATCAAAGACCAAGGCATGAAATGTTCGACTGATCGAGGCTTACCTGCTTGTGATCCTTGCCAAGTATTTAAGAACTGGCTGTATAATGCTTAATTGCATCAATGAATGATAATTTCAATACAACGTTGATACATTTCAAATCAGTTTAATGTTATTAACTTAAAGGCGCATTTTTACAGTTTTGCTCTCTTTGTCACGATCTCAAAGTGACAAACACATTTAGTTTTCAGATGTTCATGACATTTCCCCAATTTTTTATCTGATCAATGTTATTAACCTTTAAAATTTTGGAGAAAAAAAGATTTGTGCATAAGAGAATTCTGTTCTTTGAATGAATCCACTTAATTCTAATGAAACTGATACGCATACCAATTGCAGGTTTTGCGACTTCGACTCACACTATTTTTTACTCTAAAGTCCTTAACGGTATAAAACTAAACTCTGTCTTATAAAACAAAACTCCTTCACTAAAAGACAATTCCGTTTATAAGGAAGAGTTTAAACAACACGTTTTACGACTAGGCACACACACAGTTCTTTTTTTTGGGGGGGAGGGGAGGGGGGAATTACACACTATATTAAGTATTTATTTTTTTCTCCAGGCCGTATCGTCCGTCGGTTCATGATCATGAAGCTTTGTGAACACTTTTCCTTATTGACCGTTTGCCTGAAATCGTCTTCAATATGTAGAATTGTATGTCAATAAATGTAGTTACTACACTACAAACTGGCTACTTTTGATGGTGTTATGGGACGTTTAAAGTTTTTGGTCGATTGTGCATTTTGACACCTTGTGGACGCTGCTACCGTGAGACTATATGTCCGAAAGTTTTATCGTGTATATTGTGTTTCAACTCATGACACAAAAACACTAACTATTACAACTTGCTAAATAACTAAAGAAAAAGAACAGCGCTTATATTGCTAATTTACAAAGAAACAAAACCTCTCACTTCATTGTAAGTTCTAGACAGCACATTTCTTTGCTAGAAGTTTTCCATGCTACATTATTACTTGAACAAGACAGCTGTGTGTTAAAATCTACAAATTATAATTTATATTTGGCAAAGAAATTAATATATCATAATATTTAGTACTTTTAATGCTATTGATTTCTACCTGCATATCGCCATCCAATCAACAACAATAATTCAGACTATTACAGACTCAATAATGATACTCCGTTTCCACAAAATTTATAAGTAGAAAACTGATTATCCTTTCGTTTATTTTACTTAAAGTATATGTGTATATTATATTGCATTGTTTAAATTTCTAGAGGAGACGATACCTTTTTCGACCCATTTGTTAACGGAATCAGAAAGTACTATATGTGTATGAAGATTACAAAGATATCTAATGATGTTCTATATTATTACCTCCTGGCAGGTAAGACTATTTATTATATGCTTAGTAGTAAATACAGATAAACTGTATGTGTAATACAATCATTGGCAAGCGTGCTGTATCAACTACCCGTGATGATATCGAAATCAGCACGGTTGCAAAGGCTTTATCACACCTTTAATCTGTATGACGTCACGTCATCGATTGCAGTCACTGTTGCAAAGGTTTTATTAAACCCCTAATCTGTATGACGTTATGCCAAACCTATAATCTGTATGACATCATTTCAAACCTCCCTACCTGTATGACGTCATGTCACATAAAAAACATCTACGTGAGGTATATGTATATAATAAAGTGTATATGATATTACTTTTTTAATATCACACACCGTATCAACCCTCAACCAATATAATCCCTCGAGCAGAGCTCTTGTGATTATATTGGTGTCTCGGGTTGATACGGATGTGATATTGAAAAAGCCATATGATTTTCTCTATTTATTACATAATTATGAAAAATAACATACACAAATAACCATGCAACACCATACCACTCTAAAGGTCCACATTCGATCTTTTAGTGTCTATATCATATATCATATATTTCATATATATATACTCACAATCGAACCAAGATAATAAATCCAAAGTACGTTAAGGTAAGTATACAATGCTAAAATGAGCATCTATGTGAGTAACTTTGCCAACGGCATATTTCAATATTCTGTTTAGTTAATCATTCACACTTTGAAACAAAACAAAAAAAGTTATTAATGCTTTTTATGAGTAAACAAATACTTATCACGTTTTACCTCGTTCCTGACAACACATTTTTGAAATAGAGAATAAAAATTTAAAAACACGAGAAATACAGGTTTTCACAAAAAACAAAATCTGAACAGATGTTGAAATCGGTTGACGAATAAATCAACTTCAAATTACTAAAAAAAAAATAAGACCAAACGAATTAGATTATCAAAAATCGTAAGTCGAAGAAAGTCGGACAAGATGAACGCTCAGTACCATTATAAATAAGGCAAAGAAAAAAAAACAAGAAATTTGAATCCGCCAAAACCTGTTGAACGCATACTTATTTAGTAAGTTAAGCAAGTCTACTACAATACATACATCCTATACGTTCTTTGTTTAAACTTATTAGACGCAGCCTTCAGATATTCAAGGACAGATAAAAAGGACAACAAAGACAAATGAAAAATATCCGTGGTCATCTCTAGCAGACCAAAGAGGTCAAATTTACTATATAGATTCATTGGCGTGCGCTTGAATGCAGCTTCATAGAAAAGATAAATTATAATGGTAGTCTTATTGTACAAATTTTTAGTTATCATATGAGTATCAATTTCTAAGTGTACGTCTAGATATGAAGCAGTCCTAACTGTATTTATTGAATCCGTATTTAAAGCACCAAATGAGACGTTATCAACATAATCATCAAACGACGCATTATTATGTTTTGAGGACATTAACTCTATATGGAGGATCTTGAAGTCAAAGAATAATACTAGTTTCTTTTTATTTTGTCGTGAGAGGCTACTGTTAGAATTTCGCCTTTTACAAATAAAGGAACGATATATAAATAATAAGCTGCTAAGAGAAGCCCAATCCATGTTTGAAATCACTCCCAATAATGCATAAACAATATGTTGTCAATAAAAAATCAACCATCTTCATGCTCTAGTTGCTAGTTGACGTTTTGTTACAAACAAAGCTATTTTGTTACAAGTATAAAAAAAAATTGGGGATTCATACGACTTTTGGTCTACAGAAGCAAACCACGTGTACATGATGATCTAAATAAAACATTTTTGTAGAATATATCTTTAAGTTGATACCATATTCCAGAGCTTGCCTTTCCTATGATTATTTCCCTGCATTGTCTTTTCTAAGAATTTCAACCTTTTAATACAGAGGAAATAATTCCTTCCATGCATGATATTGTTTCCTTTGTTGACTCTTTTACTGTTATTGTTATAACGTATTACGGTGATAAATGTAAACCGTGTAAATAGAGCAATGGGTAACATGCATGTGGAAAAACCTTTAAAAATCGTTCCGATTATTTTTTCCTTCAGCAATTTTTATGACTTGTGATTGACTTGTGTAGTATTTTGGTTTCACATTATGTCGATAAGATATATGGTATATTATGACAACAGTTGTTGCTCTTTTGAAACTCACACTGTTTCACTGAACACTTTTCTTTGCAAATGTCATTTCCCTGAAGCCTGTTTTTTCCTTATAATAATTAGAACAATTTTAACCGCAGCAATACGGTGTCTCCTTATGAGAATCATTTCCTTTTCATTATTTGAAAAACTGATTTATAAGTGTAACACATCAAGCCCAAGTGATAGAGACCTTCGGTAATTTATACCCTTGGTCTATCAAAGGAATTTAAGGTCAAGGTCATATGTCAAAGTCACATGTTCTTAATTTTGAATTAAGCTCGTTTTCGCCCCTCCACAAAAACTGTAAAATGGAAAATTCTTTTATCAAAATAGAACGATAAAATTTTTATAGGAGGTTTTCTCTCCCTATGTGTTTCAAATTAGTTGTATGATGATAGTATTCAAAAACCATGCATAATAAAGACCTAGGTCTATTGATGTCAGATGTTTGCTTTCAGACCTTGAAATCAAGGTCAACTGTCAATTTGACGTTCTAAATTTTCATCTTTGCTATAACGTCATATTGGTACATTTGTGAATGATAAAGCCAAGAGGTCTTTGTATTAGGTTGGAATTTAAATGATTTTGAAAAAGGTGAACCGGAACAGCCTTTGATTAAATCGGAGGTAGCACTGTTTGCACTAATAACATATAAAAGAACCTAGAACCATACATTTTTTTTTAAATCAGTGGGAATTCACTTATCATATGAAACCGAAAAAGACATTTTGAATCCGGCAGTAGCACAAGTCATGTTATCCTGTATTTCAATCAAAATTTAACCCTCGCCGTAATCGATTTCTCCTACTTACCAGGGTCTAAATTTGTTATGCACTAAAAATGCAGGCGGATAATATTTTCGTTTGATTAATTTATGTTTCATTGTCATTTTGCTTAGTTTCTTTTGTTACCCATTCTGACATCGGACTCCGACTTCTTTTAAACGAAGTTTTACTGTGCGTATTGCTGTGTGTTTCTTTATTCTACATTGGCTAAAGGTATAGGGGGAGGGTTGAGATCTCACAAAACATGTTTAACCCCGCCGCATTTTTGCGCCTGTCCCAAGTTAGGAGCCTCTGGCCTTTGTTAGTCTTGTATGTTTTTTAATTTTAGTTCATTTATATGTTTTGGAGTTTAGTATGACGTCCATTTTCACTGAACTAGCACACATTTTTATTTAAGGGCCACTTCCGGGTGCGGGATTTTCTCGCTGTGTTGAAGTCCCATTGGTGGCCTTGGGCTGTTTTCTGCTCTGTGGTCGGGTTGTTGTCTCTTTGACATATTCCCCATTTCCATACTCAATTTTAAGTAATTAAGAAAGAAGGTCATATAAGAATTTTGATTGACCTATCATCTAGTATCCAGTAGAGTGAAGTAGGATCCAATTACTCATTCATTGAAATCATAGCTTTTAAGTCACACACCGTTGAAACCACTAACTGAACAAAACATTTCGGTAATAATATTTTCACTTCTGATCATTATGTGTGGTCTAGAAACATAAAATCTAATCCACAAAATAACTATTCAATTTGTTAGAATTTTGATTTTAGATAAAAATTCTGAAGCAGATAGAGAAAGAATTTACACACCACACCCAGCACCAGATATCAGCACTACTCCGACGTGCGATTACTGTCAATTTACCGAAACAATACCTGACAGCGATTTTCGGGAACTAAGAAAACTAGGTATGGCCTTATAATATAGTTATATTTAAAAGTTTGTATCAGAAATTGCTACTTAACTTCATACTCTTTGTGTGTCACAGTTTGTAGATTAAAAAATGGTCATTTACAGAACGTTATATAGCGGTATGTTCGAGGTAAGCTTCTTAACATCCATTTTAGATCCGTCATACTATTCCTACTAAGGACAATTAAAGAAAACTTCAAAAGATTTTTCGAAGATATATGTACATGTATATACTTACTGCTTAAAACTACGATCTATGAGGGGGAAAATTCAATCAGTTATGTGTACAGTCAGTATAAATGTGTTCTGAGATATCTTACATGGTGGTTTTAACGAAATGCGAAATAATCATTTAAGAAAATGTTTTACAAAATCACGAATTCTTCTAAAACAAAATGTTTTTAATTATCAACAAACCAATAGTATCGATAATTTTCATTGTATAAACCATGGTTTATGTAGGCCATAGATCAATACAAAAGTTTTAGTTGTATTTCTACTTTTTAAAGACTTTTATTCATTTTTTACCAATTCACGAAATCTCACATTTGCTTAATATAATAAAACTTTTACTAGATAGTAAACCTCTAATTTCTTATAAATAAGATTAAAATTAGATGTGGGGTATACACCAATAGCACAGTAACTCAACGACAAAAGATACAATTATAAAGTATTCATACAAAATAACAAGTTTTTAATCGACTAGAATGAAGAAAAGCTGTAAATTACAAAAAATATGACTGATGAACAAAATTTTATGCAGACAATTTTGTTTAAGAAATCAATCGTAAGTTGTATTTTAGCGATATGAAATTGCGAAAAAAAAAGATATTAAGTTGGCTAGTGCAAGCGATTGACATGCTTTTTCATTTTTAAATTAAGATGATATTATACAAACAAGTTCACGATTATGTTATTTATTTCAGAGTCTATGCTATTTTGAAAGATATTATCTCTTTATAAAATCTTTTTAAGGTACAAGTGAAACGTTGACCTCGACCCCTTCTCTCTGTCTGCCATGTGAAGCAACGTGCGAAGAGACTACCACTTTAAAAGCCTCAACACTGGGACCGTCCTCTCCACTTGCAGTAGTGACAACAATGCCTTCCTCAACCATTCAAACAACACCAGAAATATCAACTCCTTCAATATCACAATCTTCTACAACAGAAATTTTAACAACAACAAAAGTAACACCTGAATATTTAAAACAGGCAACAACAAACGGAGCAGGTAATTCAAAAATTTTAAAAAATGTGTGTTAAGAGTCATTAGACAGCGATTTAACTACACGAAAACCAAACAAATATATGTCAACTCCTTTTACACAGCTTATACTTATAAGCTATATAGATTATGTTCTCTCACTAAATCATTCAAAATTTGGTGTTGAACGCATCTATCCCATCGAACTTGAGATAAAGGATACAACAAATACAATTGAGTCTGCCTCATATCTTGACTTACATATAGAAATTTACAAGGACGGTCGGTTGAAAAAACAACTTTACGAGAAAAGAGATGATTTCAGCTTCCCAATTGTGAAATTCCCATTTCTATGTAGCAACATTCCAGCAGCACCTGCTTACGGAGTATATATTTCCCGGTTGATACGATATTCCAGGGCTTGTATTTCCTATCATGATTTCCTTAATAGAGTGTTGCTGCTCACAAGGAAGCTATGAAACCAAGAGTTCCAGGTGGTGAAGTTGAAATCGTCCCATTGTAAATTTTACGGACGCCATCACAAGTTGGTTGACCGTTATCTAATATCCGTTTCACAGATGACAACGGATTAGTTCCAATTGTTGTAACTACAATCCCGTCCCCTTTTCCCCGAATGTGACCTACGAATAAGACTTATTACCGGGTTTGTACTAACATGAGCAACACACGGGTGCCACATGTAGAGCAGGATTTGCTTACCCTTCCGGAGCACCTGAGATTACCTCAAGTTTTTGTTGGGGTTCGTGTTGCTCAGTCTTTGGTTTTCTATGTTATGTTTTGTGTACTGTTGTTTGTCTTTTTCTTTTTAGTCATGGCGTTGTCAGTTTATTTTCGACTTGTGAGTTTGAATGTCCCTTTGGTATCCTTCGCCTTTCTTTTATAATATATCAAAGAAAAGTCAGTCAAAAGCGTACGAGTGTTATCAGTGCATTAAGAATTATCACTCTAAATTAATAAGACATAATTAAGGAAATTAGGGAATAAGTATTAGAATAAGTGGGTATGGTATTATTGCCAATGAGACAACTTTTGACAACAGTCCAAAATGAATTTATAGGTCACCAACAATGGGCTTTAACAACACCAATATGGAATAGTCAGCTATAAAATTTATCATTGTTAGTTTATCATTACGAGGCTACTGCCTGATGGTCCTTAGATTACTATTACTATAGATTTCTCCGTGAATAATATATACTCACATTATGTGCCATCAATTTTAAGTATTCAAAAGATTGCCAGTCTAATTTATATTACGCTCGTGAGTGATTTTGTTTTCAATCTGTTTGACTGTATATACTTATTCGTAAGCAATCGATCCATCAGATAGAGTAATTCAGTTTGAACACTGATTGAAGTTGTTAATACTAACAAAAGAGTGAAATGTGTGAGCACTCGTATCTATCGTCCTCGACCCAAATGTTGCTAAACACATTTCATACCTCTTTGACATATATGTTGTTCTCCGCTTAGAGTTTATTATCGTCATTTATGGCCTTCCGAGCTTCTTTATATGTTTGTCTATTAAAGGTGTTTTTTGTGTATATTGCAAGTTTAAGGGGGTACAGAACGCCTAAGGGAATTGACTCTTTAAAATTCAGCTCAACGTTTTTATCACATACTATTAGTAAGAGGAATCAAACTTCTCGAAGTTCAAAATTATTGTTTGTCAAACTGCTATATATCCAATGAAATTATTCCTTTAAATTGTGTGGTTCAAATTTCTTGAAATTTTCGTATTTTTGTGAACAGGTCAAAGTAAATATTTTGCCAAAACTTTATGAAAAGTAAACGAGTCAGATCTATTTTATTCCATGTGTTGGTTACGCCCGTTTTTTTTCTGTTGAATTCATACCGAGTTCACTGATACTTTAAATGAAAACCCCATTTAAGTCGCATATTCAAAATATCAATGATTGATCATCTACAGCTTAAAGTCTTACCCAAATGAAAAATAAGGAGAAGTTGCATTATTGCCAATTAGACCAATTGCATAGATATTAGCAATAATAGTTTACCAACAATGAGCGAAACACATACCGCAAAGCAAGCTATATCTGATGTTCAGTAGTTGTCGTTTGTGGATGTGGTTCATAAGTGTTTCTCGTTTCTCGTTTTTTATATAGATTAGACCGTTGGTTTTCCCGTTTGAATGGTTTTACGCTAGTAATTTTTGGGGCCCTTTATAGCTTGCTGTGCGGTGTGAGCCAAGTCTCCGTTTTGAAGACCGTACTTTGACCTATAATCGTTTACTTTTATAAATTGTGACTTGGGTGGAGAGTTGTCTCATTGGCACTCATACCACATCTTCGTATATCTATATAGTATACACATAAAATCTTTCAAACAAATAAAAAATGCGTTCTGTTTAATTTTTGAAATTTACGTCATGATTGTTAACCTTTCAATCCTTAGAACTGTAAATCAGGTACATGTATGATATTCGTTCGGTTGCACCCTGATCATATTTGGTCATCTATCTGTCTAAATTCTTTACTCATGCTACACCTATTGTGTTTATTTTACAATGAACGACATATTTAGAAAATTACATGTAATCTTGTTATCTTATGACGTGGAAAAATAATTATTAACTTGCTTAATATGTTCTTTCTGAGGTAATAGCAAAACTGATCAGTGTAAAAGAGGGACGAAAGATACCAGAGGGACAGTCAAACTCACAGATCGAAAACAAACTGACAACGCCATGGCCAAAAATAAAAAGACAAAAAGACAAATAATAGTACAGATGACACATCATAGAAAACTAAAGACTAAGCAACACGAACCCCACCAAAAACTGGGGGTGATCTCAGGTGCTCCGAAAGGGTAAGCAGATCCTGCTCCGCATGTGGCACCCGTCGTGTTGCTTATGTTATTACAAATCCGGTAAATAGTCTAATTCGGTAGGTCACATTCTTAATAAGGGAAGGGTATTGTAGTAACGACATAAGGAACATATCCGATATCATCTGTGAAACGACATCAGGAACATATCCGATATCATCTGTAAAGTAAACCATTTAAATAAAACATATTATCATCCTTTTTGTTAGTATGTATAGGTCAAAGTTCTTGGGCTTTTAATTGTAAAACAATAGAAAAGTGTCAAAAACAAGTATCGTTTTAGTTAAGGTGGCATTTAAATTGAATTTGATATTTTGTTAACTTATATTTACCGGTGAATTTTACTTAGTTCGTGGTTTATCTAGTATTATCTTTTGTAACATTGTATTTTGAATTAATTTAAATTGACAATATACCATTTCATACCAAAACATTAACAGATACTAACAACATTCAATGGCTAGCACAATATTTCGTTTCTGTATTTCTATATCATTATTCGTTACATGTATAGGTAGAAATGCTTAATCTTACGCTTCTTAACAATAATTACTGATAGATGTGCCACTGGATAAGCGGTCAGTGATTATTTTATCTCTTTTTAATTTTATAAATAAACTAATTCATTAACGGTTATTGTCGCTTTCTGTTTATTTGCATATGTAAAGTTTGCTGTATATTGTTTATAATTGTTTGTCCTTGTCTCTATTGTCTGCAATGGATAATCTTGACATGTGCTTGGGAAATAATACAAGGGCGTTTCCGTCGTGCATGACTGTATGTCGACCTCTAGATACTTTTTTTTTATTATTGTTGTTGGATTGCTGCTTCATTGCCTTGAATCCCAATTTCTATTTCATGCGTTTGTCTACTGTAACATTACATTTGTTGTTTATATTTTTCTCTTTACTTCAATCAAAATTGAAATTCCAATTTGATTGATTATTGCTTGTTTATCAGCGGTAATTATGTCAAGCATGTTCAAGATTAGAATAAATTAACAATTTCATACACTAGGTTGGTTCTTACAGATATGTAGAAATAAGGAAATGTGGTATGATTGACTATGAGACAACTATCAATCAAAATTCAAATGAAGTGGATGTCAGCAGTTAGAGGCAACCGTACGGCCTTCAACAATGAAAAACCCCGTACTGTATAGTCGGCTATAAACGGCCCCAATGTGAAAAATATGAAACAATTCAATGGAGAAAACTAACGGCATAATTCATAACAAAACAATATACGAAAAACAATTTTGTCAGGATGAACCAACGACAACCACTGAACTACAGGCTCCTGACTTGGGACAGGCATTTAACGAATGTGGCGGACTAAAACATGTTTGCTGGCGCCAAACCCTCCCCCTAACCTGGGACAGTGCTGTTACAGTACAACATGATAACAAACTATTGAAAACATCTGAAAAGGGCGAAAAGAGCTTAGCTCATCAGATCGATACAAAGCAGAAAAACATTTTTAAAAAAACACACAGACCGGACGTGACAGGAAACTTATACGTTCTTCACAACAAGAAAGACACAAAGTACAGTTCTGAGTGTACTCGCAGTAACTGACAGCCAATTCAAAGCCAAAAACAACTAATAAAAAATCATGTATCTAAGACTAAAGTTTGTCGGTCTAGATAAGGGACTGACAATTAAGGCTGCCACTGGAAAATGACCAGATTGTGAAGGGACAGTAATTTTGTATTACAAGGCCACTTACGGACCGCTTATGGAATAGTTGGTAGAGTACTGGTCGAGGGGCATTGGATTTTACGATACACTTATAATTACTACCGGACGTGATTGGGCAATTATACACTCTGTAGAACCAAGTAGACACTCTACAATTAAGGGTTTTACTGCCGGTCGGCAGAAGTCCAGGACTGACATAGTCAACTCTTGGTGTCATTTCATTTTAAATGAAAATCATTTACCAATCATTAGTATAGTCGATGAGCCTTACTGACTATTTGTATTCTTTGTTGGGATAAAACCATGTAAATTTCGTATATACTATCAGCACAAGAAACACATCAATCATTTTGGCAAATGGATAAATTTCGTTAACGAAAAATTTAACCGTATCGTAATTATTATAGTAAAAATTTGAATTTCTCTTTATCTTGTATAATTTATTGGCATGACATGTTTAAAAAGAAAATATATATTTATTCATTGCAATTTTTTTAAGTACATTATTTCAATTTGAGATAAATCACATCGATTGCTCTATAAAGAATAATCTGAAGTGTATTTCAATGAATTCCAAATATATCATATTACATTTTTTACGACTTGCATCCTTTTGATCAAACAAGATATGATTATAATTTTTCCAATGTGTGGATTTTTAAATTATTTGAAATTTTATATCTTAAGAATTTACTTTCAGATACGAATCAATAAAAGTATATGTCATTAAAGTTCGTACAAGTAACATTAAATGTAGTTCGTATAATATCTATAGACACAGATGGACAACTTCAAACTAGAATCTATTACAAAAGTGGTGATTTCAACTTTCCAATTTTCAACTTCCCATTTCTTAGCAGTAACATACATTTGTACCCTCGTATGGTTTTTACAAATCTCAATTCACACGTTACTAACATGCATGTTTACACTATACGAACTTCATTATCAGGGGTGTGCTCCTTACACAAAAATGATCCAACGGAATTATTGGAAGTTAAAGATATCTTGTATTATTATAATTCATGTCAAAATGCCAGATTTTGATTTGTTAATACGAGGGAGACAATTTACTCTATCCCATGGCAAATACTCTATTACCCTTCACGGAGACGCTTGCTCAAGTGTGCGCTTTAATAAAAATGGATGATTGTTATGTATAATACGACACAGTTTATTACTTTGCATTTGAAATTTAAAGACAGAACATTCAGTATAATAAATTAAATAACACATATCTGAGAGGGTGATAGAGAAGATTGTTACCCCTCGAAAAGACTTTGTCAACCTTGGCTTCGCCTCAGTTGACAATGTTTTCTCGGGGTAACAATCTGCTCTATCACCCTCTCAGCTATGTGTTATTTATATAATGATTCTTTGTAGGGGTTCGTTAGTAGCCTGTTACAAGGCGAATATTCAACATACTTTTGTTTTCATAGTATTTCAATTGTCCTGCTTAATCTAATTTAACACTAGGCATATTACCAACGTTTTATTTTTGTGTTTAGTCAATTCTTTTGAAAAGATTTTTTGTTAATTGAATGTTTTGTTGAGAATTACAAAAATTAACTAAAGATGACAGGTGAAACCAAAAACACTTGTCGAACTTATCATGCGTTGTCATTTTTGTTATTTTTTCTCCTTCGTTATGTTTCTTTTTTTTCTTTTTTTAGATTTATGAGTTGACAAATTTACAGTTAACGGTTTTTTTTTTCTAGCATGAAGTGTTTGTTATTTTCATTCCAGAACATAAAAACAAACTTCTTCATTAAAATATGATTTAAAACTATTTGCCTTTCTACTATATATCTTTATTACTGAATCACCTGTTACTAATATTATATTTTTTAGAAAATGCATGTACGTTTCCATCATATTTAATTGGTCAATGGACTGATGTGACCAAAGGTGGAAACATAACATTCCAGACAACACCTTCAAAGTTAACAGATTGGAAAGTTAAAGTTACGGGTGTAAACTATGACGGTCAAACATGTATCCACAACACTGGCAATGTCTATGTTTTTGAGTAAGCATATCTATCAACCATTTCTCAATACATTTCTGAAAAAAGTAGATTTTACTTTACAGTTTTTATTAATGTAGTTCTTGAACTGAAATCTGGAAATACTTTTTAAAAGCTGCTTTATAAAAACAAGACGATATGGTATGATTACCAATGAGACAAACACTATCCATCAAAGACCAAGGCATGAAATGTTCGACTGATCGAGGCTTACCTGTTTGTGTTCCTTGCCAAGTATTAAAGAACTGGCTGTATAATGCTTAATTGCATCAATGAATGATAATTGCAATACAACGTTGATACATTTCAAATCAGTTTAATGTTATTAACTTAAAGGCGCATTTTTACAGTTTTGCTCTCTTTGTCACGATCTGAAAGTGACAAACACGTTTAGTTTTCAGATGTTCATGACATTTCCCCAATTTTTTATCTGATCAATGTTATTAACCTTTAATATTTTGGAGAAAAAAAGATTTGTGCATAAGAGAATTCTGTTCTTTGTATGAATCCACTTAATTCTAATGAACCTGATAGGCATAACAATTGCAGGTTTTGCGACTTCGACTCGCACTATTTTTTACTCTAAAGTCCTTAACGGTATAAAACTAAACTCTGTCTTATAAAAAAAAACTCCTTCACTAAAAGACAATTCCGTTTATAAGGAAGAGTTTAAACAACACTTTTTACGACTAGGCACACACACAGTTCTTTTTTTTTTTTGGGGGGGGAGGGGGGAATTACACACTATATTAGGTATTTATTTTTTTCTCCAGGCCGTATCGTCCGTCGGTTCATGATCATGAAGCTTTGTGAACACTTTTCATTATTGACTGTTTGCCTGAAATCGTCTTCAATATGTAGAATTGTATGTCAATAAATGTAGTTACTACACTGCAAGATTTGTGTGGCTACTTTTGATGGTGTTATGGGACGTTTAAAGTTTTTAGTCGATTGTGCATTTTGACACCTTTTTGATGCTGCTACCGTGAGACTATATGTCCTAAAGTTTTATTGTGTATATTGTGTTTCAACTCATGACACAAAAACACTAACTACTACTACTTGCCAAATAACAAAAGAAAAAGAACAGCGCTTATATTGCTAATTTACCAAGAAACAAAACCTCTCACTTCATTGTAAGTTCTAGACAGCACATTTCTTTGCTAGAAGTTTTCCATGCTACATTATTACTTGAACAAGACAGCTGTGTGTTAAAATCTACAAATTATAATTTATTTGTGGCAAAGAAATCAATATATCATAATATTTAGAACTTTTAATGCTATTGATTTCTGCCTGCATATCGCCATCCAATCAACAACAATAATTCAGACTATTACAGACTCAATAATGATACTCCGTTTCCATAAAATTTATAAGTAGAAAACCGATTATCCTTTCGTTTATTCTACTTAAAATATATGTGTATATTATATTGCATTGTTTAAATTTCTAGAGGAGACGATACCTTTTTCGACCCATTTGTTAACGGAATCAGAAAGTACTATATGTGTATGAAGATTACAAAGATATCTAATGATGTTCTATATTATTACCTCCTGGCAGGTAAGACTATTTATTATATGCTTAGTAGTAAATACAGGTAAACTGTATGTGTAATACAATCATTGGCAAGCGTGCTGTATCAACTACCCGTGATGATATCGAAATCAGCACGGTTGCAAAGGCTTTATCACACCTTTAATCTGTATGACGTCACGTCATCGATTGCAGTCACTGTTGCAAAGGTTTTATCAAACCCCTAATCTGTATGACGTCATGCCAAACCTATAATCTGTATGACATCATTTCAAACCTCCCTACCTGTATGACGTCATGTCACATAAAAAACATCTTCGTGAGGTATATGTATATAATAAAGTGTATATGATATTACTTTTTTAATATCACACACCGTATCAACCCTCAACCAATATAATCCCTCGAGCAGAGCTCTTGGGATTATATTGGTGTCTCGGGTTGATACGGATGTGATATTGAAAAAGCCATAAGATATTCTCTATGTATTACATAATTATGAAAAATAACATACACAAATAACCATGCAACACCATAGCACTCTAAAGGTCCACATTCGATCTTTTAGTGTCTATATCATATATCATATATATCATATATATATACTCAAAATCGAACCAAGATAATAAATCCAAAGTACGTTAAGGTAAGTATACAATGCTAAAATGAGCATCTATGTGAGTAACTTTGCCAACGGCATATTTCAATATTCTGTTTAGTTTAATCATTCACACTTTGAAACAAAACAAAAAAAGTTATTAATGCTTTTTATGAGTAAACAAATACTTATCACATTTTACCTCGTTCCTGACAACATATTTTTGAAATAGAGAATAAAAATTTAAAAACACGAGAAATATAGGTTTTCATAAAAAACAAAATCTGAACAGATGTTGAAATCGGTCGACGAATAAATCAACTTCAAATTACTAAAAAAAAAGTAAGACCAAACGAATTAGATTATCAAAAATCGTAAGTCGAAGAAAGTCGGACAAGATGAACGCTAAGCACCATTATAAATAAGGCAAAGAAAAAAACAACATGTAATTTGAATCCGCCAAAACCTGTTGAACGCATACTTGTTTAGTAAGTTAAGCAAGTCTACTCAATCCATACATCCTGTACGTTCTTTGTTTAAACTTATTAGACGCAGCCTTCAGACATTCAAGGACAGATAAAAAGGGCAACAAAGACAAATGAAAAATATCCGTGGTCATCTCTAGCAGACCAAAGAGGTCAAGTTTACTATATAGATTCATTGGCGTGCGCTTGAATGCAGCTTCATAGAAAAGATAAATTATAATGGTAGTCTTTTTGTACAAATGTTTAGTTATCATATGAGTATCAATTTCTAAGTGTACGTCTAGATATGAAGCAGTCCTAACTGTATTTATTGAATCCGTATTTAAAGCACCAAATGAGACGTTATCAACATAATCATCAAACGACGCATTATTATGTTTTGAGGACATTAACTCTATATGGAGGATCTTGAAGTCAAAGAATAATACTAGTTTCTTTTTATTTTGTCGTGAGAGGCTACTGTTAGAATTTCGCCTTTTACAAATAAAGGAACGATATATAAATAATAAGCTGCTAAGAGAAGCCCAATCCATGTTTGAAATCACTCCCAATAATGCATAAACAATATTTTGTCAATAAAAAATCAACCATCTTCATGCTCTAGTTGCTAGTTGACGTTTTGTTACAAACAAAGCTATTTTGTTACAAGTATAAAAAAAAATTGGGGATTCATACGACTTTTGGTCTACACAGAAGCAAACCACGTGTACATGATGATCTAAATAAAACATTTTTGTAGAATATATCTTTAAGTTGATACCATATTCCAGAGCTTGCCTTTCCTATGATTATTTCCCTGCATTGTCTTTTCTAAGAATTTCAACCTTTTGATACAGAGGAAATAATTCCTTTCATGCATGATATTGTTTCCTTTGTTGACTCTTTTACGGTAATTGTTTTAACGTATTATGGTGATAAATGTAAACCGTGTAAACAGAGCAATGGGTAATATGGGAGTTTTATTCGGTCTTTCCATCCTTCTGTGGAAAAACCTTTAGAAATCGTTCCGATTACTTTTTTCCTTCTGCCATTTTTATTACTTACTTGTGTAGTATTTTGGTTTCACATTATGTCGATAAGATGTATGATATATATTATTACAACAGTTGTTGCTCTTTTGAAAAACACACTGTTTCACTGAACACTTCTCTTTGTAAATATCATTTCCCTACAGAACATTGTTTTTCCCTTATAATTTTAACCGAAGCGATCCGATGTCTCCTTATGAGAATTATTTCGTTTTCAGTATTTGAAAAAATGATTTATAAGTGTAACACATCAAGCCCAAGTGATAGAGACCTTCGGTAATTTAAATCCTTGGTCTATCAAAGGAATTTAAGGTCAAGGTCATATGTCAAGTTCACATGTTCTAAATTTTGAAAAACTGTTACATGGAAAATACTTTAATTTATCAAAAATAGAACGATAAAAATGTTATAGGAGATTTTCTCTCCCAATGTGTTTCAAATTATTTGTATGATGATAGCATTCATAAACCATGCATAATAAAGACATATGTCTTTGAAATCAAGGTCAAATGTCAATTTCACGTTCTAAATTTTTATCTTTGCTATAACGTCATATTGGTACGTACGTGAATAATAAAGCGATGAGGTCTTTGTTTTAGAATGGAATTTAAATGATTTTGAAAAAGGTGAACCGGAACAGCCTTTGATTAAATCAGAAGTAGCACTGTTTGCACTAATAACATATAAAAGTACCTAGAACCATACATTTTTATTTAAATCAGTTGGAATTTACTTATCATATGAAACTGAAAAAGGCATCTTGAATCCGGAAGTAGCACAAATCATGTTATTCTGTATTTAAATCAAAAGTTAAATCTCGCCGTAATCGATCTCTCCTTCTCACCTAAATTCTTTATGCACTAAAAATTCAGGCCGATAGATTTCTCGTTTGAATTGTTTTAATTTTAGTTGTTAACTTCTATGTCATTTGTTCTCTAGTGGAGACTTGTCTCATTGGCAACATACCATATCTTCTTATTTTTATATTCTAGTCCCTTTTTGGTTTAATGATAGGAACATTTTATGTGCTTGGATTTCCAAATATTTGGTCTTGAATGTAATTAATGCATATATTTCTGTAGGTAGATATATCTCTTCAACTTTTTGTATCCAAACTTGATACATGTCGATCTCGGAATAGGCACTTTCACAGTTAACCTGAGGCCCGGCTTTGATAGAATACGTGCAAGTAATATGGAAAGAAGTTGATTTAAGAATTTTGATTGACCTAGCATCTAGTATCCAGTAGAGTGAGGTAGGATCCAATTATTCAATGAAATGTAAGCTTCTTAGTCACACACATTAGACAAACCATTTCGATAATAATAGTAATACGATTAATCAGTATGTGAGTTCTAGAAGCATAACAACTATTCCACGAAATTACTATTTCATTTGTTATAATTTTGATTTTTAGATAAAAATTCTGAGGCAGATAGAGAAAGAATTTACACACCACACCCAGCACCAGATGTCAGCACTACTCCGACATGCAATTATTGTCAGTTTACCCAGACAATACCTGACAACGATTTCCGGGAACTTAGAAAAACTGGTATTGCCTACCATTTAAATGATATATAAGAAATTGATGCTGAACTTACAAATTAGTAATGTTGAGAGAAAAGATGACTTGAAATCGCATTGTTTTCATAATCATGATTCATCATTTTGAATGTCACATTTTTTTAAACAGACAGTATTTATATAGAGAACGCATATTGCGTTCCAGTGGCTCTTTTCACAAAATAGTTATACTGAAATAGTCATGACTTACGAATATTTCTTAACTTAATAATAAGATTTTTTATAAAATGAGTTGCAGATAAGCTTGATTTCTAGTGGAATTCCTATTCAATTAAAATAGTTTTTGAAGTTACTTATTAAAAATTGAGATCTATAAGGAACGGAAAAAAAATCAGGATGATCTGCGAAAGGTTGGACATTTTACATATATAATCAATATCGAATTCACGAAATATATTCTTTAAAAAAACACGTGTATCTACAACTTTCTTATTAATCAGTAGAATGAAACAAAGACTACCGTGTCGAAAAAAAGACAATTATGCATAAAGGAAGGATGTCAATCTCAAAATCCCCTAGTCTAGAAAAGTTGTGAAACATCAGAGATATAAGAGATAGTCAGAGGTGTATCGAGTTCAGTATTTTTGTGATTTTACTTTTTTTTCCAACTTATGACGAAAAAGTGTGGAAAACGGAAAGGAGAAACACGTGATAGTACTAGAACCTTACTTTCAAATTACAAATATACTATAGAACCAAGGTAAGAATTAATTTATTTATTTATTCCAGGTTTTATTCATTTCTGCATAGTATTACCTTTTATATACTTTTTTCAAGGTACAACTGAAACATTAACTTCTACCCCAGTCTTTTGTTTGCCATGTGAAGCGACGTGCGAAAAGACTACCACTTCACAAAAAACAACAATGATACCATCTTCCTCGCCTATCACAACGACAGAAGAAGTCACGACAAAGCCTTCGTCACTACTACAAACAACATCGGAACTATCAACTCCTACAACATCACTGTCTTTCACATCAGACATAACAACAGAGTCTACAACAGAAAAAGCGTCATCATTAACAATTGAAAAAAATCCTTCACAACCGGCAACAATGGATTCAAAATTACAAACAGGTACGACGACAAAGGTCAGAACGACAGAGGCTTCGACAACAATTAAATCAACACCAAAAGCATCAGTTACAAAGGAGAAAACATCACAAGAAAGCTCAAAATCCACAACAAACATTGATAGATCAGACGCTACAACAACAGAAACCATGTCAACATACTTTACAACTGTAACTACATCGGAACTTGTAACAACACCAGATAAAGTTGTAACTACATCAAAAGACGCCTTAACAACAACTGATGGATCTATATTGACAACACAACAAGAAATATTTAAAACTACGGCCAGACCGTCGGGAACAGGTAGGAATAATTCGGAGATTATTAATAGTTTGTAATTCTTGTTTTTTATTCGTTTTTGTAAGAAATATACCAAGAATGCTGAAATGAATAAAAAATATGGAATAGTCTGAGAACGAATTCTACTATATGTATTTGGAAACATACTGGGTCAAAATTAAAGAAGGTATAAACTTTTTTTCGTAAATTTACCATGCAAAAAGGAACTGTTAATATATGTCAAAGTGACAATCCAATGAAACGAAACGAAATTTACCAAAAAGAAACAAAACGGAAAGAATATTTAAAACAAAAAAATAAAATATAATATAAAACAAGAGGCTAACTTTTTTGATCTACAGGGTGAAAATGAGAAATATGTTTCTTTAAATCGACACTTTGATTCTCGAAATAAATGAACCATATGCAGAAATTACTTGTCGTCTTTGTGTTTACTGTTCTAAATGTGGTTATTAATAGTATATATATATATGTATATTTGACTTAGATACCTCCACGGGGGGCTTCAATAATGGTACAATATTTAATAGCGAATATAATAGCGACTAAAAATAAACGGGATATTCACTTTTTGTATTCAGGGATAGTTCAGTATTTGTTATTTGCACTTTTGTAAGTTATCATACGACAATAAACTTTGAGCAAAGTACAAGTACGCGGTCACGTCCGGTCAGAATGGGGCGTTTAGAGAAAGTGCCACACTCTCTGCACGTTAAGAACCCGTGCAACAACTAATTAAGGGTTCGTTGGTTGCCAATATACCCTCATTTTCCAGTGGCAGTCTAAATTTCCGAACCTGCATCCCGAACGACCTCTATTACAGGACCTTCATATTGTATTTATTGTTAATTTGTTCTCGTCCTGGACATGCATGAAATATTTGCCACTGGACGTAAAGCAACCAACACTCAATCATCTAAAAATGGCCGTTTATAAATATAAAAGTTATGAAGAAACTAAGGTTCCCACTCCCTCAGGCAAAGTTGACCCTCAGTAACATCAAACTTCAATGTAGAAAATGATACTCCTCTAACTTGAGACTGTGAATCGTCGAATTTTAGATATGATCTCTATGGCCATGTTATTACGGGGAACCTCAATATCGTTCAAGACCGAGATGTTAAAAACATTTTGAAAAAATGACAAAATATCGTCCTCCATCTATAATAGATTGGACACAGTGTCGTCAGGTCACAAAAGACGCTTTTTCATCGTATTGTAAAAATTGGTGTAGACGGGGAAAATCTGATAAAAAATCTCTTGATTCTTATTTAAATAAATGTATGAATGTTGTGGATATTCGAATATCACATTTTGAAATAATTCAGAAATAAATAAAAGAGTACATAATACGCATATTTCTAGAATACGAAACAAACTTCAAGTACTTTCAAAGCGGTTTGTGTTTGTACCGGCCGACAAAGCAGCCAACAATGTGGTGGTGGTATGGCGTAAATACTACACGGACGTTCTTAAGAATGAAATTTTTAATTCTTCTACATTCAAGTCTGTGCGCTGCACAGAACGTCATATAATAAACAATCATATCATAACCACATCACAGCTTAAGGCCTCTTCTGAACATTTGAAGGTCCCTGTATTGGTTACCTAAACTACACAAAAAAAAAAAAAAATATCGTTTCATCTCGGTCTCTAGTAAGTGTTCTACAACTAATCTTTCAGTGCTTTTAACTAGTTCCTTAACTACTATCAAAGAACTCATCATTAACTTTTGTTATAAAATATATGAAAATAGTGGAATTAATCATTTTTAGAGTGTAAAAAAGTCTTTAGATGTTTTAGATAAATTACATACTTTTGATTGTCCTTTTGATTCTGTTGACAGTTTTGACTTTCAAACTCCTTACACTACACTTCCACACAATCTAATCAAACAAAAGTTTTCCTATTTAATTAAATGGTCGTTTGTTAAATCTGGATGCAAATATATTTGATGCAACTCATTTAAAGCCTTCTTCTCTAATGAGAAAGGTAAATATGCTAGATATACTTACTGGAGGTGTGATGAGATGATTGAAGCTGTTCAATTTTCTCCTTGATAATATTTATGTACGTTTCGGTAATAAAGTTTATCGACAGATTGTAGGTATTCCTATGGGCACCAATTGCGCACCTTTAATAGCAGACTTGTTAATGTACTGTTATGAGTCACAGTGTATGACCAAACTCAGTAAAGACCCGTCTAAATTGCATTTAATTGATGAATTCAAAACATTTACCATATCTTGATGATATTTTTCGTTAAATAATCAAGAATTTCCTAAATATACTGCCGAAATTTACCCAAAGGAAATAACTTTAAATAAATCAAATATTAACAGTAATAACTATCCTTTCCTAGATTTAGATATTTCAGTTTTACACGGGAATCTCTACACAAAAATTTACGACAAAAGGGACGATTTGTCGTTCCCTATTGTTAATTTTCTTTTGTTGGACGGTGATGTTCCTTTGGCAACATCTTACGGTGTTTATATATCACATCCTGTTCGCTATGCCCGTATCTGTTGTGACGTTTTGGATTTCAATGAACGTAATCTATGTATTACTGGTAAATTATTAAGTCGGGAGTTTCGTTACCACAAATTATTTAAAACCTTTACTAAATTCTTCCATAGATATAAAGATTTGGTTTTGAAGTTTGATGTTTACCGAGCCCGGAAATTCAAAAACGATCCGGGTAAACTTATCGATCCTATAGAAGGTTACCAATTCAACACTGTAATTAGATCTTTAAATATTGTTTTTATTGGCATTTATATTGATTTTGTTATCAGTAAATTAAAATTAAACTAAATATTACTTTTATATACATATGAACATTCATGGCTCTACAATCTGTCGATACTTGTATCTTGGACCATTGCACAATGTCATGTTTTTCTCTGACTGTTTATGACGTCTTTATGTAACAGCCACTATGTTCCGGCAGTTACTTTGTTCCGGCGGAACTTTTCAACTAGTTATTTTGTTCCGACGGAACTTTCCAACTAGTTGTTTTATTCCGAGTGCAGTTGAAAAGTTCCGGAAAAAAGTAGCTAGTTGATAAGTTCCGTTTGAACTTTTAAGCTAGTTTGCTATTTCCAGTTTGGGATAATTCGCCGATGAAGGAGGAACTATGTAGCTATTTGATAAGTTCCGTTTGGCATTTGTGGCTAGTGTCTTGTAGTCACTTGGTTCCGTTTTTTAAAAGTTCAATGATGATATGTTCTTCCCTTTTTTAGATAATTCTCTGAATGTAGATGTCTGACTATTTGATATTTTCCGTTGGTAATTTTGACTTGTTTGTTAGTTCCGTTATAGATTTATTTGACAAAGAGGAACTTTGTGACTAGTTGATAAGTTCCGTTTGACTTTTGTGGCTTGTATCTATGTTCCCCTTTGAAAAGGTTCAAAGATAATATGTTGCGCATTTACTTTGCATCAATTCTCCAAATGGAACTTTGTGACTGGTTGATAAGTTCCGTTGGAACTTTTGGGCTAGTTTGTTAGTTCCGGTTTTGAGTAAGTTGGCAAAAAGGAACTTTCTAACTAGTTGATATGTTCCGTTGGAACTTTTCAACTAGTCACTTTGTTCCGGTGGAACTTTTCAACCATAGGAGGAACAAAGTAACTAGTTAATAAGTTCCTCCGGAACTTTTCGGCTAGTTAGTTTTTTCCGCCCGGAACTTTCCAACGTCGGAACAAAAGAGCATTTACATTTACACTAAACCCATTGGATGTTGGATGTGTACTGATTGATATTTTAGTCTTAGATTCATGATTTTTTTTTTATTGGTTGTTATTGACTTTGAACAAGCTGTTTGTAACTGCGAGTACTCTCAGATCTGTAGTTAGTGCCTTTACGTTGTGGGGATGTATAAGTACCCTGCCACGTCCACTCTGTGTTTTTGTTAGATGTGCTTCTATTTGTATGCATCTGATGAGTTAAGCCTTTTTCAACTGATTTTCATAGTTTGTTGTACTGTTACACCACTGTCCTAGGTTAAAGAGAGGGTTGGCGCCTTCAAACATGTTTAGCCCTGCCACATTCTGTATGTGCCTGTCCCAAGTCAGGAGCCTGTGATTCAGTGGTTGTCGTTTGTTGCTTTGTAACATATTTGTTTTTTTTTATTCATTATTTTGTACATAAATTAGGCCGTTAGTTTTATCGTTTGAATTGTTAAAAAAAAAATTACATTTTGTCATTTCGGGGCATTTTATAGCTGACTGAGCTATATGACCAAAAAGGACATAAAAAATAGCAACATCCATCTCAGTATAAAAATAAGTAGATGTGGCATGATTGCCAATGAGACAACTCTCCACAAGAGTCCAAATGACACAGAAATTAACAACTATAGGTCACCGTACGGCCTTCAACAATGAGCAAAGCCCATACAGTCTGTTTTAAAATACACCAAGCGAATTCTTAAAGATCGTAATACAAGATTATTGTGAAATGTTTTCAGTACAGAAAATATTAATTTAATATCAATCGAAAAAATCTAAGCCGGACACTGTACCTACCGTGTTACATGACATGATAATATGAGACAACAAAGGACCTAAATTATGCTAAAACAATACTAGTAAACCAGAAATAAATATGAAAAAAAGCAGCCAATATAGTTTACCATTAAGATTGGTCACTTCAATTTGCTAAAATGTATAGCGATAATGTGAACTTTTAAAACCTTATATCAATTAAATTACGGTTTTGTTTAACACTGTGTTTTTCTTCTTCAAAATATATTAAATTAGAATGGGCAGCAGGCTAAGCATCTGCAAGCCTCTCCAAGAGAGAAAAAAAAACACACAAACAAATATTTCATTATCAAAACTACCTTACAACTGAATCGTTAAAATAATTGACATGGTATTGCTCAGTTAATTAAAACTGATGGCACGCATTAATCAAAATCACCACAGCTACACATGGATAGAAGGGCGCTTAATGTACAGTGGCAACTATTACATGGATATTCAGGCTGAAAAAATGTTTATGTGATATGCTGAATGCTTAGGCTACGTCCCGCACTGACGCCAACCCTAGATACAATAGGTAAAACGCGACGTCGTAACTCCTACGGTATTCTCAACATCCTCCAATCCCGTAGCTGCAGTTGAAATTCCGCGAAATATAATGACTCTTGCGGTTAAATAGTTTCATTCAGGGCAAATAGTTCAACGCTTACAATTTAAAAAATAGTGAAAATATTGTGTACTTATTTTATATAGAAAATGATAACTGATGTATAATAAAAGCAAATATTTGCATACTCAATCTTATCACATTATTCGGCTTACTGCAAGTTGGTCAGTTGTTACTGTTCTCCTAAATGATGGGCGCTTTATCAAGCCAGTGACGTTTGGGCAAAAGTGTAGAACAAACACAATTGTAAAATGGGAGTAGACTATCCAGCAAAGAATTCCTTTTGTCCATTACGACCAACAAATTCGAAATTCGTTGTTATCTTATGATTAATTATGAAACCCAAATAGTTCTGAATAAATTATCTGAAACGCTTATCTTCTGTTTGAGATTTTTTATTGTAAGTAAAATTAATCTGTTTAATGCAGCTTTAAATATGTTCGGAAATTGTGTGTTTTTTTATATCACCTGGCCCAAATATATCTCATGTGATGTCCGATTTGTTCATAGAAATACAGCCTCTTCTTTAAATATTTTTGTTTGCACATCAAAATTATTCAATTCGTTTTTTCTTCTTATTCCTACTTAAGAATGATCATAGTCAAAGTGCTTCATTTTTGTCGAGCCTTCGACTTTAGTCGAAAAAGCGAGACATAGCGATCCTACATTCCGTCGGCGTCGTCGTCGTCGTCGTTGTCGGCGGCGGCGTCCACAAATATTCACTCTGTGGTTAAAGTTTTTGAAATTTTAATAACTTTCTTAAACTATCCTGGATTTCTACCAAACTTGGACAGAAGCTTGTTTATGATCATAAGATAGTACCCAGAAGTAAATTTTGTAAAAAAAAATCCATTTTTTCCTTATTTTACTTTTAAATGGACTTAGATTTTCTGCAAGGAAACAACACATTCACTCTGTGGTTAAAGTTTTTAAAATTTTAATAACTTTCTTATACTATTTTGGATTTGTACCAAACTTGGACAGAAGCTTGTTTATGATCAAAAGCTAGTATCTAGAAGGAAATTTTGTAAAAAAATAAATCCATTTTTTCCGTATTTTACTTTTAAATGGACTTAGATTTTCTGCCAGGAAACAACACATTCACTCTGTGGTTAAAGTTTTTAAAATTTTAATAACTTTCTTATACTATTTTGGATTTGTACCAAACTTGGACAGAAGCTTGTTTATGATCAAAAGCTAGTATCTAGAAGGAAATTTTGTAAAAAAATAAATCCATTTTTTCCGTATTTTACTTTTAAATGGACTTAGATTTTCTGCAAGGAAACAACACATTCACTCTGTGGTTAAAGTTTTTAAAATTTTAATAACTTTCTTATACTATTTTGGATTTGTACCAAACTTGGACAGAAGCTTGTTTATGATCAAATGCTAGTATCTAGAAGGAAATTTTGTTTTCTGCCAGTTAACATTAAATTCAGTCTGCAGTTAAAGTTTTTAAATATTTATTAGATTCATAAACTATCCTGGATTTTTACCAAACTTGGACAGAAGCTTCTTACAATCAAAAGATAGTATCAAGAGGAATATTTTTATTGATTTACTTCCTCATTTTTGTTGAGCCTGCGATCAACAGAAAAAGTAGGCGAGACACTGGGTTCCGCGGAACCCTTACGAATTTTTTTAACTTACTTCTCTGCTTTTGAGAAATATATATCTTTTTATTCAATTTTTCTCCGGTTTGATCCCCGTCTGACTTGTTTTATTTTCTAAATTGATTTTTAATTAAAAATGTTCATTTCGTTTCGTTTCGTCATACATGTATTTCGTTTTGTTTTGTTTCGTTTAGTTTTGACAAATTTCGTTTGGTTTTGTTTTGTTTCGCACCGTTTCACACTTTACAGGTACCCCAAACGCGATAATGATACAGATGTTCTCTTTTCGTCCGTTTTCATAATCAAAATCAAACTTTCAAAAAGTGAAATGATTAAAGTTTAGTATTTTTAAAGTTTGGATACATATCTAAACTATTGAATATTAAAAAGAATTTTAGAATTTTAATTATTTGGTGAAATTTTCAAAATTCCAAAAAAATTCAAAAATTTGGAATGTTAATAATTTAAAACTTTTGATCAAAAATCCAAAAAAATAAAATTTGAAAACTTTTTAAAATTTTGAATTGTTAAATGTTCCCATTAGATACAACATTTTTCCTGTTAACATTTACCTGTAACTGCAAGTTTTGAAAATAGGGAACAATTTCTTTACTCTTTGATTTGTTCTTGTTTCCAGTGACAAAACGTGACATAATTGCGGATAATTGGTCCATGTAACACTTTTTGAATTTTAGATTGTTAAGTGTTATACGGACCCTAATGATTCGTTTTCTCACAGATATTCATGATGCATATGACTTCAGAGGGAACAGCAATAAACTTCGTTACAATGTACATGTTCTTAGACACAAAATCAAATTCACCAAATAAATGCAGTCCCATCATATTTGTATTGCAGGATCTATAGTTGACAACAATACTGAAGGACTAACCGAATCCAGCATTTTACTAATTACAGCAAGCAGTATATCTGGTGTTTTGTTAGGTCTGGCTATAATAACACTATGTTTATGTTTAATTCGCCATAAAACGAACATAGTTAAAGGCCATACGGCTCAACGACGTCTGCATCATCAAAGAGACAGAGATTATTTCAATCCACTTTGAGTACGAACATCGTGAAGAATTTACAGACCAATTGCATTGACAATCTTGATTGAAGACTTTTTTTTTGAAAAAGAAGAGGATTGTAAGCTTTAAAAAAAGACGTCATGAATAGAATGACAAATCAAATGCGCAGCAGTGCCTGTGTACAAATAAACTTGTAACGAGGAAAATAATTCTAAAATGGCGTTTTGAATGTAAATGTTATCACCTTGATTTAATCAACAATTATTTCAATTGTTTGAATTGGTCAAACAATAAAATATGATGATAGGAATAACAGAAATGATAAATGAGTACGACATGAGTCGAAAATATTTAATATTTATATACAACGATATATCAGAATTTCACTTGTGCCAAATATGTTTAATTATAATTGTTATTCTTTGTTATCAATATACATTTTAGATCATCTAGCCTAAAAAGTCACGTGAGCGATTGCCATCACTTGGTTTCCGTTATTGTCGTCTGTCCATCGTCGTAAACATTTTTTTTAGATCTCTTACGATACGGCGCAAAATATTACCAAAATTAACTTAATGTTAATAAGAAATTGTAGTTTAAAATTGTATTCGGGGATGTGATAAAAAATCAACAAACATGGATGCTATTGCTGAAAATAGAACAAAGTGATAAAAATTGCAGTTTTTGTCGCGCTCCGAGACTTAGGCGTTCAGTTCCCGTCGGCAGCAGCGTTGGCGGTGTCAACAATGCATTAGTTTGTGATTAGGTCAGTTTATTGGGAACCACTACTTTTATACATGTTGGAGTTACTGCCTTTTAAGGATTACCTTTTTCCGAAACTATAGAAGATAGAGAGAATCTTTCAGTGGTAAAAATTATTTGTAAAATAAGAAGTACAAAAAATGTACCAATAAGTCAACATAGCCGAAATCTCAATTGACCACATATAGCAGCTATTACCTTCGGAAGACGACTTTAATCCTTTATTATGTTATTTTGTAGAAACTAAAAGTAGAGAAAAATTGTAAATAGTAGAAATATTTAGCAAAATTAAATCTACAGAAAGTCAACATTGACCCTTTTAGGAGTTAAATCTTCTTTGTTTGTTATTTCGTAAACTTACATTTGTAGATACCTTTTGAGAGTTGAGCGAATCACGATCTTATGAGCCCTTTGTTGTTTTTATTGGATTAAAAAAAAATTATGTTAAAACTGTTTTTTTCTAACAAGCATATCCACATTCACATGAATATAGTGTTTATATGTTGTTATCGGAACGGAAATATTTTTGAATTTTTTACTAGATATAACAAAAGTTTGCTCAGTTTATAATTTTTTGTTCTTTTTCCAATGTTTGCCACTGTGAAAACATTTTTATCATTCAAGTTTGTGGTATATGGTGCTAGCATAATATTTTTTCTAGTTATTTCCTTTCATTAAAGTGGTGGTGCTCGCATTTTGTTTGTGCACGTCAATGCATGTTGTCTCCTTTTATATCTGATCAAACGAATATTTTAAGAATTATTTAAAGTTTTGAAACATTGTATATATCAAAAACACAAACGGTTGAATCATTTAGATGTGCAATTTATCATTGCTCTAAATCTATTGGTGTCTTCCGTTGTTTTAGATAAAGATATGTATTCAATCTCAACGAGAAAGGTTTTGGTGTCAATATGCAAGTGTTTTTATTCGTTCTTAGTCAGATTTTAGTAACCAATAATAAATAACATGTAACTTTCAATGTACGAAAATTTAATCCAAGAAGGAAATCATGTGGCCTGTATTTCAGTCCTCAATTAGTTTAGTTCACGACAATGTTGATTTCGACGATGTTTCATCTATAAAAAAAAAGTACTAGTAGTTATAGATAGCACAAAAAATACAGGACAGTACATTTACCTAATTTAACGACCGACACATGACTCCTCCGAAAAAATAACAGGCATTCAAACTCTGTACATGTTGAACAAAGAAAAACACACGGTTCAAAACCCTTACTTGATCTAAGCACAAAATGAGATGGATTTAAACCAAATTTAAGTGCGCAAAAACCTTTTATAATCATCAAATTATGTAATTATGTATTAGATACAATATAAAGGTAACAAAGAAACAGGCCGGTAACAACCGTTGCCGGATAGTTTTTCTGCACGAGTAGTCAGGTCAAGGTCCGAGGCGATAGCCGAGGACTTTGATCTGACTACAAGTGCAGAAAAACTATACGTCAGTTTGTTTGCCGCCTGTTTTTTTTTTTGTTACCTTTGTTTTGTATCTGACTTGTACGACGTTTCAAGAAAGAAGTAGTACATTTAGCATTTTGAAGAGGTAGTAAAATTAAACAGATTAGAAACGTAGTTGGCCATATACCAGTTAATGTAAGTTATAGTTAAAATAAACTTTTTTTTTCATTTCCCAGCCGAGAGTTTTTTTCTCAAGAAATTCAAGAATCTAATAATTTTATAAAAAGGACCAAAAAGACAAATATCGTAAACATTTGAGACTTTTTAAAATGCAAATTTGCAAGTAAGTTATGCATGAAAAAGATTTCAGATGTAAGCAAGCTAACATTTAATTTTTATTTGGGGGGAAACGGAAAGGGGGAGGGTAAATAAATATAAAATAAACAGGCTTGATCCTTTTTTTGTCGAAAAAAATGCAGGATGTGCTATTCCATTCCCCCTTAAAATAAATAAAAATCGTACATTTGCTTCCAAATACATGAATTCAATATATATGAATTCAATAACAATATAAATGTATAAAAAGAATGAATTTCCTATTTCATTAGTGAATGAAATGTTATGAAAAAATGGATTTTGTCTTGTTATTAGATATATATAGGCATATATTTTGGATTTGTTTTAAAAATGTCATGCTTGCTGGTTTTTATTTATGTCTCTAATAGTGTTGGTCAGGATTAAACACGTGTCACAATATGATCCAATCGCAGCTTACCGTCCAAAATTAGTGACATAAGTTGAATGATTTTCTTCAAGATTTGCTGCCTATTTGAACATGTATTACACGGATACTTTTTATCTATAGGATCAATCGTGCATTGGTGAGTTGATAGGGATTTTATCTTTCGATTAGATTTGATTTTTGTATATATATTTCCTGTCCTTTTTATTGAAATATAAACGTCGGTAACAGCATTTCTTTACTTTTAGCATTGTCCAGAATACTATTCATGTCCATATATTGAAAAAAAATCAGAAAATCAGGAATCAGAATATTATTTTGTCATCTGCTTGACCACAATATTATTTTTATCCTAAAATTGGGGATCAGAATATTTTTTAGAAAAAAACCATAACCCCCCTTTTGAAGTTAAATGGTCAATCCCTTAGTGTACTGACATGAATAGTAATATACTGCAATTGTTTGAAAAAAATATAGTTATTGATGCCAACGTAAATATTTTAATAAAAAAGACAGGAAATATGTCGGTGAAACAAAAAGTTCAAATCTAATTGAAATTTAAAGTGCCCATGCACGAGTGATTCTATTCATAAAAAGTGTCCGTGTAACAACTAAAAAGTGTCCGTGTATCATCTAAAAAGTGTCCGTGTAACACCCGTTAATGTACTGTTTTTCTATAGCTCTGCTGGGGGCAAAGTCGTACAAGTAAATTAATGCGATAGTATTTAATCGACGTTCAGATCTTTTTTCAATGGATTGGAAAGAAACAAATCAAGGTAGCAAAAATTACTGATGTGATCGCATCAACTCCAGAAGGAGCTAGTACGGTGCGTCTAAAAGTGCATTTGGAGAAGTATGCCAGCATGCAGGCAATATCAGGTCACTATGAATATCATGTCCTACTTCATTGAATTTTGTTCATATAACGTCCGAGTTCATATCTTTGTAACTGTAACTATTCTCAACGTGTGCAAATGTGTATTTTGGGGAGTAAGCTAACACTGAATGATGCAAATGAAGAAATGAGACGACTTTTATGTCATGTATCAACCGAGGGTTCCTAAGGGTACAGATGACGTCTTCCTTCAGAAAGTTTTACGGACGCCATCATGTTTGGTTGGTCGTTATTGAACATCTGTGTCACATATGACCACGGTATGTTGAAATTATTGCGGTAGCCACAAATCCTTCCTCTATTCTGGATTGTGCCATCCCCGTATGGGACTTATCACAAAATGTGAACCTGCGATGAGCAATTAGACAGGTGCAACGAACGAACAGGATTTGCATACCTTTCATGAGATCCTGAGTGATCATCCCTGTTTTAGTACGTTTCATCTTGCTCAATTTAATTTTCTTTGTAGTGTTTTGTTGCCTTCTGATTGCCTTTCCGTCGTTGGTTTTGACATGGCATTATTTCCGTCGTTGGTTTTGACATGGCATTATTTCCGTCGTTGGTTTTGACATGGCATTATTTCTATGACTTTTGAATGTGATTATTCCGTTTGAGTCTTCTGTTTCTCATTTATTCACGTTTGAGATGTACTGACATATTTGTGTGTGGTATGGGTTGTATATAATTTTATATGGGTTGGTCATAGACTTTAGTAGATAAAAGTTTAATTTCAATTTCAATTGCCATGGTAAAAAAAGACAAGAATTGTAGTGAAACTATTCTGAATCGCATGAAACTACATTCGTCGAATAAGCAAGCATCACCTGATAATGTACACTTGTTTCACCTATCAAATGATGTAGTAAGTGTCAAAGCCAGGATTTAAATCATCGGTAAAAATTTCACGTAAACACTAGTAGACAAGAAACACCTATGACAGAGTTAAGAAGTCACTACTTAGTCAATAAACTTGTACACTTTAACATCAACGTGTTTATGATGACAGTCGATTAACACTTGGTGTTAAAACTTTTGTTTTATTGGTATAAATATTGATTTTGTTAACAGTAATTAAAATCACAATAAATATAATTGTTATACACATATGCACTTTCACGGTACTACAAGCTGTCGATACCTATATTTTGGCATTGCACAATGTCATGTTTTTTCTCTGACTTTTAATGACATCTTAACACTAAATCCATTGGATGTTGGATGTGTATTGATTGAAATTTTAGTCTAAGATACATATTTTTTTTTAATTAGCTGTCAGTAACTGCGAGTACTCTCATATCTGTACTTTGTGTCTTTTTTGTTGCTAGGGATGTATAGATACCCTGCCACGTCCGGTCTGTGTAGATGTTTTTTCTGCTTCGCATCGATCTGGTTTTTCTAGTTTGTTCTTATGTTGTGCTGTAACACCACTGTCCCAGGTTAGGGGAGGGTTGAGTGCTCACGAAAATGTTAAACCCCGCCACATTCTTTATGTGCCTGTCCTAAGTCAGGAGCCTGTGGTTCAATGGTTGTCGTTTTTTCATGTCTCTGATATTGTTTCTCGTTAACTGTTTTTTATAAATTAGGCCGTTATATTTCTTAATTGAATTCTTTCATATTTTTCATGTCGGGGACTTTTATAGCCGACTATATGGTATGGGTTTTTCTCATTGTTGAAGGCCGTGCGGTTGTCTATAATTGCCTACATTCACTTTATCATATCACATCTTCTTAATTTTAGTTCAACAGGCAATACGCCTCAAAATAGTGAACACTTAAAATTAAAAGTTATAAGCAATACGAACTATAAACTCTCATATTAAAGTGCTTCTTTTTGGAAAGGCAAATCCCTATTGTTGGTTGTCTTAGTATGTACATGAATATACTATAATAAAGTCTATCTTTTTTATAAAGTGATCTTAGGCTATCGAGGTTTAATTTTAATGCAAAGTATGACAGAAGTGGAACGATGAAGAGCTTAAACTTGAAAAGTATGACAAATAATCTTCCATTATTTGAGCACATATTTTGGTTTAGTAAGTAAGTTGTTTGCTTCTCAGTCTCTAAAAGTATAAAACTGTTTGATATTAATTGCAGAATAAGCTGCAAAGACAAGCTGTTTATTGTGACGCAAAGCATAATAACCTATATTCAAAACGAGATTAAAACATCTGTGAGGCTAAAACCAAAACCATTGCGAGGCCAAATCTAATACGATGGTGAAATCCTTTAGAACACAAAATTTCCGAAACATTGTGCCAAAAACGGTTGAGGCTATCTATGCCTCGGGTAGAAACATCCTAAATGTTTCGAATAATTCAAAGTGCTGACTACCTGGCTTGGTGATCCCCTTGGGGACGCTACGTAAACTTGTAAAACCTTAACTACTCTATACTACAATTACGCCAGAGCAAAACTGTTTTTTGCTAGAGGAAAACTATTGTACATTCGTCGAGTTAATTTGGTGATTTCAATTAATTCAGAAACGTATCAGTGAAAATAATTCACTTTAAAGTCAATGTTCAAATCATAAATTTATAAATGGTTGTAAAAGAGCCCGGTACCAAGTCAGGAATATGACAGTTGTTTTCCATTCGTATGATGTGTTTGAGCTTTTGCTTTTGTCATTTGATAAGGGACTTTCCGTATCGTATTCGGTATTCGGTATTTTTGTTATTTTGCTTTTGACAAGTAACCAGTTCCGAATTACCTCAAACTCTATACACATTTGTTGCAGAATATTTTTTACTATCTCAGTTTAGGATTTGCACATGCTTAACAGATACTCAAAATATGATACAAAACAAACTTTAGTTAATTAAACAAATTATAAAGCCTAGCGAACATTCATTCTTTCGTATATTTGAAAAAGATAGTAAATAATTGAAACTTGATTTGAAAGTCTTTGATACTGAAAATTTAGAATATCAAAGGACTGCAGTCTATGCTCACTTGGTTTGTGTTTTTTTTTTAATTAAGCATTAATTTTGATTTCCATGAAAAATCTAGTGTTATATTAATGATTATGTACACTTTTGTTGTTTCAATGCAAAACATATTGAAATTTTATTAAAACAAATCGACATCCGTTCCTCGTGTACTCTTGTATTTGACAATGCTGTACTGAATAGAAAGGGGATTACTGCATGCAGTTCTAGCAATGACTTCCCTGAAACAAGTTTTTTGATAAATCTATAAGTTAGAACGTGTACAAATGTGGACAAATTCAAGTACTTAGAAGGAACATATCTTTAGGCTAATTCTTGATAATAATGATTGACAGAAAACAACAGTAGCTTGCCAATGTCTACAAAATATTGTATGGTCTCATTTCATGGATATTGACGATACAATAGATTAAAAAGCGTTCAAACGATTTTATCTGTTCCTCTGAGAATTGTAATCTACCCTCAATAATTACATACACGCTTTGAAATACTTTGAAATTGTTATTTTTGTTATTTTTGTTTTTTTATCTTTTCAAATTTTGAAGAAATATCAAAGCATTTTATATGATTAATTGGTGAAACAAATAAAGCAAAAGAAGTTTATGTTTCATTTGATTTGTTTTTTAACCAGCAAGTACACATATTGAATGCATCTAAAAGAAAAAGTCATGCTACCCTGTGTACAAGAATCCCTTTACTCTTGTAACCTTTGTCAGGTTTTTTTTTTAAATATATTCAGTTTTATTTCAGTAATGTCTAAAACGAGTTCCAAATCAGTGCCTACTATTTTACAGGAACTATTGTAAGTGATAAATTAGTCCTGGTAAAATGTGTCCGGGCGGACAAATATTACTAGTATAAAAAGTCCATGGTTACAGAATTTACTAGTATATTTAGTCCGATGTCAGTAATTTACGTCCCCAGACTCATTTTCCTAGGAATTTATGTCCATGTCATCAATATTCCTAGGTAAAAACGTCCATGTCCTTTATTCTAATAGGAAAATGTGTAATAAAAGAAATCATTTAATGGTAAACAATGGAATTTTTAATTCTTATGTTTTAATGTTGTTTAACAGTTGTGCATCAATCTTTTAATAAAATTTATGTGCCCAGACTAAATTTCCTAGGAAATCCTGTCCAGGCCATTAATATTGCTAAGTAAATACAATCATGTTCATTATTTTGATAAGACAATTTGTAATGAGAGAAATCATTTACATGTGAACAATGGAATTTTTAATTATGTTTCAATGCTGTTGAACAGTTGTGCATTAATCTTTTAATAAAATTTATCTGCCCAGACTAATTTTCCTAGGAATTCATGCCCAGGCCATTAATATTCCTAAAAACGTCCATGTCCTTTATTTTTATAGGAAATTTTGTAATGAAACAAATAATTTACATGTAAACAATGGAATTTGTAACTTATATGTTTTTAAATTGTTTAACAGTTGTGCATTGATATTTCACTATTTTATCAAAATATGGGTGTTTTTTAATAATTAAACGGACTTTTTTTCCTAGGAAAATTAATATCATAGACTTTTATGATGTACATAATCACAAATGTTCCTTTCTTGATTTTGATATTGATTAATTTAAATAATGTCTTAAGAAATAAACTTCTAAAGGGACTTTTTTTCATACAAAAGAGGAGAATACAGAAATATAAAAATATAAAAGGTGCCAGACATATTTTACTAGGAACTTAATTTCCTAGTAAAATTATGGTCACGGACTTGATTACCTAGGAAAAAAAGTCCAGCGGACAAATTTTACTACCGGACCAAATTTACTGTTACACTATGTCCGTTTCATATGTAATTCATATTGACCTTTGCATAGTAAGCACTTTCGCACCTATTTTCCTTTTTTGATTTTTATAACATGCACATCAATAATTTATACCTGCAAGATCTTGATAGAGTTTTAAAATCATCACCGATAAACTATTTGTACAGGAGTAATGTCCCTTAGAAATAGAAACTAACATTGTCAGCGATTTGATGCCCTAATTCATTATTGGATATTATGAAAAGGTTAACGAGAACGAAAATGTATAGAAAGTGTGCATCGACGGGGGTATTAGAACTTGTTTCTTTATAACGTTTGAATTAGGGAGAATGTAGTCTTTTTCAAACATAGAAACCCACTTAGTTAGATTTTTTCTCTTATTTTAAACGGTTTGGATGATATGACGTAGATGTAACCTATGACAGAAGAAGACGTATATCTTATGAATTGCCATTATTCTTTTTGAAATCATAAAAACTTCTTTGTAAAAAATAAATGAAAAGGATGTCAAAGTTTGCACCTGAAACTGTTAAAATTACCTCCATTTGATATAGATGGCACCGGAAAGGTGGAACAGAGAAAATAGAAAGTCAGCGACTTTTCATCGCAAGTAAAAAAAAATCTTCTGTGGTGAAGTATTCTTCCTCTGTTACTTCTTAGAAGAATCATACTTGCAACTTGGCATTCTCGGTCAACCAAATGAAACAAATCCCCAGTACCGGGACACCTTAAAATGAAGGTTTCCAGTACACATCTTTTGTGATTTTTATATTGACTAAATAAAGGCAGTCTGTGTTGTTCAGGAGATATTTATGAAAATACGTAAAAATGAAAATCCTTCCCTCAACATGTAAATTAATTGAAGGTTCAAATCATGCAGTCATTATAGATTATAAAATACCAATCGGACTGAAAACAGATTACATTATCCGAAATAGGTACCAAAATATATATAAAATGACTGTGACGGGAAATGCCTGAACTCTAACAGTGCTCAACAAAAAATGATTGCTCATTCAAAAAAGAGAGGCGAGAAACGTAATATTATTTCTATTTTTGGCATTATATAGCTTACACATTTTAAGCAAAACAAATCTATTTATTTTTTTTTCCTGAATGATTCGTAGTTCCGTAATATAAGAAGCTAGATTTTTGTCACTGTATATATTAATATAAAGACTGATCACGCACCAAAATCAAAACAATGCATCCAAACATTGACAGATTCCAGAAAGTGTTATTCTTCATAATCAGTGTTCAACAATGAAGATTACGCTACTTCTTCTCATCTGCTGTGTGACAATTGCTAATGTGGATGCCGTCTTGAACGATTTTATGCGAGTAGGCCATTATAAAGGTAATGATGCGATCTAAAGGTGTCAAAAATTAATATGTGAACATTAACTAAATTAAATAAATATTCAAATCATAAATTCAATAACTTGATATGAAAATGACGAAAGCATATGAAATATTTTTACTATTACTTTTTTCGACATATGGTGTAATAGATCAAGGGGTCCTCAATTCAATAATAATTTATTCATTGAACTTTCCGTTGTGATAATAGAATATTTTGATCTAAATCTTTTAAAAATATTCAGATTATCCATGTTTATGCATCAAAGAGGACTGAAGACTTGGATGATGTAATAGTAATGTGTAAGGTTGTTTTTTTTTTCAGAAAAAGATTATTCGATATTATGTCGATTAGTTGTAATTTTATTAGTAGTAGCATTTAGCTTTTTTCTGTGTGCTACTATTTATTATTTATCAATTCAAAGAAAAATGATAGCTTGTAATCTTCATAGTACAAATAAAACTAATTTTATCTGTGTCTCTATGATTAATAAAACGAAGTGTTTAAACAGTTATCATTATTACAATTTGCTTTATTTAGGTTATATTGGATGTTTTGTTGACGATCGTCACAGATTGTTAAGGCATTATGGAGGAGGACATCATATGACTCTTGGCAAGTGTAGACATCTCTGCAAGGGATATAAATATCTTGGACTACAGGTAAATGAAATCTTAAAAGTAAATTTGTTAGTTTTTTTATTTAGTACACAACTAGTCAAAGAGAGACGAAAGATACCAAAGGGACATTCAAACACATAAGTCGAAAATAAACTGACACCGTCATGGCTAAAAAAGAAAAACAAAACAACAGACAAACAACAGTACACAAAACACAACATAGAAAACTAAAGACTAAGCAACACGAACCCCACCAAAATCTGAGGTTGATCTTAGGTGCTCCGAAAGGGTAAGCAGATCCTGCTCCACAGGTCAAGTGATTGTGTTGCTTTCCATGCTTTAATCTATTTATTCAATGCTCAATCTGTTATGTAAACATATTTCCTGTTACTTTTATATGTCTAAAAAATTGATGTTATATAGTTTTTGTTTTAACACATTTTAAGTTTTTTATTCGACGAGGCCATTTTCTTTTTTTGAAATAAAAAAAAAATGTGTATCTGTAAAAAGTCAGGACTATTCGTTGTTCGTTGTCTTTGTTCTTACTGTATATTTCACGTAAGAGTCCGGTGTTGATGATGGTTTGTTTGGTCTGTTAAACTGTTCATTTACTGTTTTGTTTTCCTGTTATCCTTGTTATTTATTTTTTTTCGAATCAGATTGATCAATTTTGTATAATATATCCTCCTGGCGAATGCTTACTTTCCATAACATACTGAGTATTGCCATAGAAAAATAGAAACCTACACTATCTTGGAAAACCAGAAATAATTTGAAAGCTTTAATTTCATATATTTGTACATGAACTAATTCATGACTAATTCATGTTATTTAGTATTTGAATTGAATAGTTGAATTAATATTGTTTCAAGTTTGCCTGGCAGTGCTTCTGTGGTAATCATCTTAACTATCGGGTTTATCCACAATCATCAGAGTTACAGTGCAACATGCCATGTAGTGCAGAATCACATAGGATGTGTGGCAGCGGTTGGAGAAATTCTGTCTACAAAGGTACCTTACCAGTAATGACATTTACGGAAAAAAAAGTTAAGAAAAACAGGACCAGAGACAAAAAGAACACAAATGAAACGTAAAACAACCTCCTTTTTAACAAATTACGTATAAATTTAAGGAGATTTGGTATGACTGCCAATGAAACCAATATCCTCCAAGATCGAAGACAAAGGTGCGAACTATAGATACCGTAAAGCCTCCAACTATGAGCACATTTCGTATCGTATCGTACGCTATTAAAGGTCCCTGGATGACATAAACCCGCAGTCTGATTTATACTTACACAATAAAATCAACCTCAGTTACCCGGAATTTTCATAAATCCCTACTCCATTACTGACACTTAGTTGCTACTATTGCTAACATTATGTTACGTCATGAACGAAGTTAAATCTGTTTTCGTTGTACATTTTGCGGAAGGTACTGACAATTACAATGAATAAGAAAATAATATGATATCATAGATCAAAATATTATATATAATGCACATACAACTTGTAACGATTCATCAATGTAATATCTTATTTTTATATTTTACAGTTTAGAGATTTGAGCGACTAAGAAAAGATTGGACCAACCTACACTTTTTAATTTTAATAAAGTAGAATTTCGATATCTTCAAACTTTCAATATATTCACCTTACTAATAAGAATATGCATTCTTCTCCACTATGGATTGATTATACGTTAAAAAATAGATTTTGGTTTAACACAAAGTAAAACAGCGACATACCTTAACCGCACCACCCCCATATCCCGTTTAACAAAACCATAAAAATGTTAAAATACAATCTTCAATGATGAACAAGAGTTCCTACTAAATAAAGCTAAAAGTCTCACTAGTCTAAACACATTCTGTTTATATTATTCGGTTGCTTTTGAAAATCTTTTATCGACTTCAAAATCAGAAATTAACATAGAACAACCTTTAGAAACAACCACTGATGTGGTTCTGATTACAATATTCTATTGTATTGTTGAATAATCTTTTAATGGGTAAACGTGGGGGTGATAAAGAAGAAGACCTGATGATACGAGGAATGCTCCAGACTTTAAGAAATGATATAGCATAAAAGTAGTCTTTCGAACCTAAAAAATGAAGTAATTTGAAGAAAAAAAATTAAAAAATTGATGAGAACAATGCAAACAAACACGATTCATTATGTGAGGTTATGAAACGTGCAGAGGTAGCACATTCTCACAACGTCTAGTAGGAATCGAAGGTTATTCCTGAACTGAGGTCATAAACGCAGATAATGTCTACGTTATATAGATATGTTCTTTATTATAATTGTACTTCAATAAAAGTTGAAAATAATCTCATTAGAAATTAGTTGAAATTGAGGAATTTGATAAATGTATAAAACATAATAACACATGTCCAGTCTCCTTTGTATAATAGTGCAGAACATTTTAAAAACCCCGATCGCCCAAACATTTAATTATTCTTTCAGAATCGTCAACACAATTTGAGTTAATATAGCTCCATGCAGCTAATGATTATTGTTTCCTTTGACATTTTTCAATGACATTTCTGTTTCTGCAATTATACTTGAAACTTGAAATTGCCTGAAGTGTAAAAAGGGAAAAAGTACGTACTTGTCTGTAGATGTACTTTCAATATAATTGCAAATCTAAGAGAGGAGAAAGATACCAAAGGGAGAATCAAACTCATAAGTCGAAAACAAACTGACACCGCCATGGCAGAACACGAAAATGACCAAAAGACAAACAACAGTAAACAAAACACAACATAAAGACAGAGGTACACTAACCTTTACAAAGACCAGGAGTGATCTCAAATGCTTTGGAATGGTAGCAGATATTGCTCGACATGTGACACTAGTAATAATGAGGCACACAATTATTGAAAACTCGCAAAGATAGAATTTCAATAAATTTCTTTAGCCAGATCGACTTATAATATCCATAGTTGTAAATATAAAGAACCTGATCATTGAGCATATGAGTAAGCTTAATTTAATGAAAGGTTAAAAATTAATAGATGCGTATCATGGTTTATCTTATTTCCGTGTACAACCTATTGGTCATCCTGTTCGATGAGGTGTGGAGTTTAACAACCTTGACTACCACAGCTTGTTTTGTTCGATAATGCTTTACTTTGTTTTGCGTCTTTTCTCAGAGGACTCGGTTATTGATGCGGTATGTAGTTCTGTCATTATTATTTTTTAATTCATTTTATCCTTAAAGAATTAAATATTCTTTGTTATGTGATGCATTCTATAAGTTGACTTTTGAAAGTAGCCATAAACTATAAATTATATTTGCAAGAAAGATATTTCAGTCCTTGTATTTATCCTCTACAACGATAGAACAGACTATAAAAATAAGAAGATGTGGTATGATTGCCAATGAGACCACTCTCCACAAGAGATCAAATGACATAGAAGTTAACAACTATTGGTCACAGTACGGCCTTCAGCAAAACCCATACCAGTAGTCAGTACTTTGTTTATGAGTGAGACAAGAAAGAGAATAAATGAAATGACAGGTGTCTCGTATATTGATAGAATGATTACTTACTATGGATCACCTTGGTTTTCGTTAGGAGGACGTTTACCTCCTATAAAGTTGGTAAAGGCCACATCAATGGCTCATATTGGGGCGGCGGGGGTGGATAGATGTAAAGGCAACGGAAAAAATAACAAATACTAACACATGAACAGACGCAGCTTCTTAATATTCTATATGCGTATTATGATCGTAGAAATTGTTATGCACCGGGGTAAACACGTAATTAGGTAGCACCGACGACCAACAGTCAACACAGAGAAAAAAGTCAGAAGATACATCGAACCAAGGGTGCAATAAAAAAACTCGTAACAAAGCAGTGAGTGCAAAAATATGATTCTCAAAACTCAAAACTTAATTAGGAAAAAAATATTAGTGTCAATATACATATATGATACAAAATTACTTGAAATTTTTAAATCCTTCGTTCTGGTTTTTTTTTATACGGATTTTACTTATATGACTTCTACTCGAGCAATATACACTAACTTCAAAATAGTGGAATTAGAATTATTTCGAACAACATCAGAAAGCAATTTACAGGTACCAGTTTCTGTATTGAAATAAAATCCACCACATTCCAAGTACGAAATACAAAGAAACGCATATTGAACTTCTAAATTTACTGCCAAATTTTGGAGAATATTAAAGGTAGGACAATTGGATTTCTTCACAAGTTTCCATTCGGGAATACTCTTTTTGGGACATTTGGATTTCTTCACAAGTTTCCATTCGGGAATACTCTTTTTGGGACATTGTAAAGTTGAATCTAAAACAAATGAGGATTTTGAAAGTTATGATTGTAACCAAAAGGAAATATCAAATATATGTGTATCTACATTTAATTCAAATGACAAATTAATTAAAGATATCCGCATCACTTGTTTTTTTTAAATCAATATTATATGAAAAGGCTTTCGTTATCTGGTCAAAATATTATTTTGTTAAATCTGTGCTTTTAGAAAGAGAATGTTTTTTTTAACTTTTTATCTGTTGAACCAGTAGTACCTGATTCAACCTACTGCATAATACACAGAATTTTAAACTAACGGTTTTGCTTAATTTGGAACATTTGGGGGTTTTAGTTTTTATTACATTGCAAAAGAGGGACAAAAAATATCAGAAGGACAGACAAACTCATAGATCGAAAACAAACTGACAACGCCATTGCCAAAAATAAAAAGACAAACAGACAAATAATAGTACAGATGACACAACATAGAAAACTAATGACTTAGCAGCACGAACCCCACCAAAAACTGGGGTGATCTCAGGTGCTCCGGAAGGGTAAGCAGATCCTGCTCCACGTGTGGCACCCGTCGTGTTGCTTATGTTTTTACAAATCCGGTAAATAGTCTTTTTCGGTAAGTCACATTCATGAAAAGGAAAGGGTATTGTAGTAACGACATAAGGAACATATCCGATATCATCTGTGAAACGGTTATTCCATAACGGTCAACCAACTCGTGATGGTCTCCGTAAAATTTACGAAGGGATTATTTCAACTTCACCATTTGGAACTCTTGGTTTAATAGCTTCCTTGTGAGCAGCAATCTTCTATCAAGGAAATCATGATAGGAAACACAAGCCCGGGAATATCGTATCAATTGGGAGATATATACTCCGTATGCAGGCGCTGCTGGAATGTTGCTACATAGAAATGGAAAGTTCATAACTGGGAAGCTGAAATCATCTCTTTTGTCGTAAAGTTTTGTTTTCAACCGACCCTCATTGTCAATTTCTAGATGTAAGTCAAGATATAAGGCAGACTTAACTGTATCTGTAGTATCCTTTATCTCTAGTTCGATGGGATAGATTCGTTCAACATAGTCACCAAATTTTGTATTATTTAGTGAGAGAACATCATCTATATAGCGGAACGTAGTGTTGAAGGATATTGCTAACTTCTTATCTTTCTTCCTAAGAAGTTCCTGTACGAAGTCAGCCTCATAATAATAAAGAAACAAGTCGGCAAGAAGAGGGGCACAATTGGTTCCCATTGGAATTCCGACAGTCTGTTGAAAAACACGTCCTCCAAACGTAACAAATATGTTGTCAATCAAGAAATCAAGCATCTTGATAATGTCAGTTTCAGAGAATTTTTTGTTTGAATCAGAGTGATTCTTTACAAAGTAGGATTTATCCGTCCCCAAGACAAGATACTTGTATCTACGTTCGCCATTCTTTTTAATGAAACAAAGTAATACCAACTCTTTCAATTTGTCTTTTAATTTGGAATGGAGAATACTTGTGTAAAGTGTAGAAAAGTCAAATGTTTTAATACTATTGCAAGATGAGAGAGTCTTAGATTGTATGTACTCTAAAAGATCTTTGGAATTTTTTAGTATCCACATCTGATTCACACCACCTCTAGAATATGCAGTTTTAAATAACTTTGGAGCCCGGCTTTGATTGATGATAAAATAGGTGTTATATATTTTAGAAAGAGGTTTCGTGGAGCACTTGGAAGACCCAGCAATATACCGTTGTTTGTAAGGACACTTATGTAGTTTAGGTATCCAATACAGTGATGGAAGATCCAGTTCTTCATCTTTGGTTGAAATTCCAAAGGAACATAGAACAGACCTATGATTATCCAGGATTTCCTCTTTGGTAAGTGTAGTGAGGGTATATGTTGAGTTACCAAGTGAGTTGTCAATACCTAGTTCATTTATCAAGCAGTTTATGTAATGATATTTACACACAAAAACGATGTTGTTTGGGGTTTTATCTGCGGGAACAACAACATATTTGTCATGGAGGTAGGACAAGTGTCTTGCAACATTTGGTTCTTTAAACATTGACGTAGCGTGGGTATTGATATGCCCATTTAGTTTCTTAATTCGGATCTGTATCAACGACCTCACAGCCATTCGGAAAAAAGTATCTACGTCTTCTTTCTCGCGTTTGGCCCATTGCCTGGCATAATCCTCGACTAAATCCATCTGTATTTTGAAGTTGTATTTCCAATTGATGGATTTAGGCTCACGATATTTCGGACCTTTGGATAACAAATTTCGCAAGGAAGTGTTATTGACAATGTTGAGATCTCCGGTAATAACGTGGCCAGCCGGATTATATGT